GTCTAGTCAGCTTTACAAAGTTAATGTATAAGTGAATTGAGATTTGTACAAAGAACCCCCTGAAGAAGCTTACACATTTCCTTCAGTATATAAACATACAGTTTACGCCAACAGGCTTTGTTTATGTAACAAACTCTTTGTAATTTTACTCTTGTTGAAATATCTACATGTAGCTTATGTTACTTTTGTGAAAGTGTTTCGGTGTTAAACACACAAGAGTAATATACCATAATGGTTATGATACTGTAATAATGACCAGTAATGATACATAACAAATCACAGGAGGAGAGAGCCTTTGTAGCATTTCAACATTATTAGGGTCGCTTTACATGTCCTACTAACAAGTTGTGATATATGGATTAAACAAAAATGCATATTCATCATTGAATTCAAAGATTATCACCATAATATGAATCTTAATGAATTGTCTATTTTGGAGATATATTGATATACAGGTCAGTAAAATACTAGAAGAGAATCATGTTCATCATTGAATTCAAAGATTATCAACATAATGTGGTAGTCTTATTTAATTGTCTTCTCTGAAGATGTAAATTATGACCAAGTAAAACAAATCAGATCATACTCAGTTATTCAGCATCAATGTAGGATGGTCATTTTAATGTAAGTTTATGGAGTGCTATTCTGATTTGAGATACTAATTAACAAGATCACATTTACCATTTGATAATTATAACTTTCTATATATGAATTCTTAGCGATTTTACTGCTATATATGTGTACAATCAGTATTGTTTTGTTGGAAGGAAACGAAAGCTATCATTTTATCATAAACTTTCTACATTAGGAACGGTGATGTTTGGGACTCTAATATCTGGGTATATCTCCCAGGTATATCTGATAGTATTTGTACTCCTGGAAATTTGGGAAATGGTGTTACAGACTCACTTGAATTTTTAAATGTTTTAGGTATGCATGATACATACAATCAAGAATAGTATTCAAGCTATATATGAAATAATATATAGGAATTCTGTATTTAATTGGAGGTTGTTTGGAAACAAAAGCTTATTTTTCCAAATATATCAAACATGTGGGTGGCTAGGAGGAGATAATCTAATCCTATGATATCCACCAGATGACAGCTGCTAAATCAGGGTCAGTGACTCAGATAAACACTTTTGTGTAAGAATTACAAAGGTACCAGAACTCTACAGAAGTGAAGTACTGATTTCTGTAAAGAAATAAAATCTGTACTGTAGGATAATACAACAGAATAGTAGTCTTGTATGCTTTATCAAATTTTCTGACAATTAACCCATAAATGTTATAAGATCGTTCAGATATACTTTGTTCTTCATTGAAATAGGAACTAGTGGTATCTTATAATCCTGTAATAAACTCACCCCCTGACTTTGAGTTAAAAGTGTTGTCCCTGGGGCTTATTAAGTGGTACATATGGTAGGATAACGGAGTTATATCAAATAACACAATAATTACACTGTGATAATGAAGTGAAAAACAGGATACTGTTGGTTTGCTTTGGGTTTATCATGTACAAATGAACAACCAGCTTCATTTTGATGATCCCCATGTAGTTGGACCATGTCAGTGAACATTGTAGACCCATCCTATGCCATCCACAGCAATAAGGATGTATTGCTTGTGGAATTAACCATGCCAGCAAAGACTGATCTATTTTTGAGCTAACTGATAAACACAAGTTGAGTTGAGCTTCCTAAAATGATAACCTGGTTTACTTCAAAATAAAAAGGAAGGTAGTATCAAATCCAGCTCCTTGTATCTTTACCTGCAGTTGCGTTCCAACATTCTACTGACTGTATGAGTTATTGTAGCCCTCCGGTTTAATGGTATTTAGTATATATGATGATTTCTATACAATACCACAGCTGTCAAATTACAAAATATACATATTAGAAATAACAGAGTTTAGTTTTGTCCAAGTCATCCCAACAACAAAAAAATTACATGATTTAGCAGAAAACTGATTTGTTTATCATTAGATGAGCTGGTTTACTATATAACGACTAGGAGAATTTCCACTGTATAGAGGACAGCAGGGTTTCCTATAATGTTTAGTAAGACATAACAAAATCAATAATTACAAATGACAGTTGGACTGGACAGACTTGACCACTAACCCCTGACCCTGTCAATCTCTAAGCTAGGAGAAACATTGATACATACGTCTTTACTTATACTCCAGTTCAGGTCGATATCTTGTGAATAGGCTCAGAATTGATTTGGAAAACAAGGATCAGCTTCCCAAGCAAGCTGTGAAATGTGGTGTCAGGAAAATGTTCCTACGACCTAGATCTCAAGAGAATTAAGTGGAGTTTTTTTTTCTGAATCGGAAACATGGAAAAATGGCTCGCTTCTGAGACATCTACTGGCAGTATGTGTTCTACAGGAACTTTCTAAGGAATATTATATGTGGGTATTTAATATGCTGGTAGAAAATCTATAACAGGTCGGTTAAAAACACACACACATGGAGATCTGAGATCAGAGCAGAGATGTTGGTGTCTATTCTGTACTCTAGTTTGAGAACAGTTTTACGGATTGACAGGATGACTGACATCCTGCAGATTATTAGGAATATTTTACCATTAGGATCAGAAAAATGCAACAGTTCCTATTTTCCAGCACATTTTGTAACCTCTGGAATGAGCAATAATCTTGGAAGTTTGGATTCGATTGGAGAGAACTTAATATAATCATCTTGACAAGGCTTAATGTCACTGTAAGGAAAACATGCCATATGTGTATGCTTTAGGACAGGTCTTTGATTCCACACATCTATGGGGATAATCTGGATGTGCAATTACTGTGGGAATACCAAAACTTCAAATAGAATATGGAGGTCAAATTATTTTGAACGAGTTATGGCATGAAAATGAAAGTGATTTAGATGGATTTGGTTTTAAAAAACAGTTGTGTTTTTAGTTATCAGGACCAGTGGCTTGGAAATGCTGCAGAGTCATATCCTGATACGGATCTTTGATGTGAAATAAACAAAAGGCTAGATTAACAAACCTGTTCATGGAGGATAGTGAACTCAAATTGATCTGTGGAAATTATTGGGAATAAATCACTCCACTAGTCAGAGGTTAAAAGGGTGGATATTACTCTAAAATCATTCATGTAAAAAATTTCTGAAAATCGGATGAATCGTTTAGAAAAATCAAAGAACAAAGTTATCAGAACGAAACTTGTGGAAGATTGTTGGAGCTAATTGGATTAGGTTTATAAGCTGTTTGTATTGTACCACCAGACAAACAACAGTGTTAATGAAGAAAAGATTATATCATTGAACATGGATGGCATTGCTTTGGATACTAGTCATTTCAGGATGACAAAATATCAGACATCTTTCAATCGACCTACTGATCTACATTTCCTTACAATGGTTGAGTGTGTCTTTACGTTCTGGAGTGGTGGCAGTAAAGTTAATCAGTTTATATCTGCCATTGATTCGGGATAGAAACAATAAATGTTGCCATCTAATATTCTGGGATCTCGACAGACCAGAAGACTGGTGTATAAAAACGGCCACTATTACCTCATGTGTATACAAATGCACCACGCTGAACATATGTGCTGTCCAACACAAGTAGGTCAATACCCTTCAAGGGGAGGGTGGAAATTTCATAAAATATTACAAATTGATTATTTGATGAAAATTAATCCAAACTTAGATGTTGTTTATTAAAGTTTTTTTTTATTATTTTGACTTTTATCAAAATTTCTAGACTGTAGATCAGTTATTTATTTTAATAAGACATGGTTGCAATGAAGTCATCGAATGTGTACATTTAAGCTTCTGTCATTGGTCCTAATATCAAAATTCACAACCGATGTTTATATATATTATGTCGTTTTACTATTTCGAGTTTGCAGTTGAGTATGTATGTACAATAACTTTGTATACTTCCTTAGTTAGTGTCACCATGATCGTACAAGATCATGGTCAAACCCGATGTTTATATATATTATATTGTTGTACTGTTTAGAGTTTGGAGTGGAGTATATATGTACAATAACTGTACACTTCCTTAGTTAGTGTCACCATGATCGTACAAGATCTTAAAAATGATTATTATACCATGAAACATATACCATATTGTGAAACAGTCTCAATATAAGCTTATGAAGCCCACCAAGCAGCATCAGTGAATGGTACATTGGACCACTCCTTGCCTGTGTGGTGTAACCAGCAAGGCAAAATAAAGACTTGAGAGTGGGGAGGACCAGCAGATATCGATCCCATCCCCAGACTGTGCCACAGAGAGGCATTTTGATGACTAAAGTGTCTTGGGCGAGAGACGAATACTATACACACATTATCTGCCAAAATTCTTTCTGTAGTGTGGTAAATGTGCTTGACACGTGTTAGAAAAAATGACATTGTATTTAGATCTTCTAAACAAATATATAAAGCGTAGGAATGTAAGGACAAGGTAACTTTTGATGTTGGGAGTTTTTTTATTTTATTATCATGATCCTTTCTATCAACTATTAATGAATCAAATAAAACAAATTACCAGTCTACAAATACTCGACATTTGTTTTGGAGATATATACAGTGAGTGATTCTGTTTTAAGTTACTAGATCGGATGCCATCACATGATGGTTTTGGTCATGAACAGAATTCCTATTTATCAACGAAAACAGCCATTTTTCTTTTTCTGATTTAATGTGATATTCAAGGTTAAATACATCATAACAAATAATATAAATGGACTTTTTTGTCACGGACATTTAACATTATTTAAAAGACTGGTATTCCCTGTGGACAGGAAGTTTGAATCATATTGATAATTTTGCACTAAGTAACGATATTGATAAAACAATATGGTATCCCCCAGGGTTCATTTTGTAGTTCTTCATTTCATAGGACACGGTTGCATGAGTGCAAAATAATTTATTTAGATATTTTTGTGGAATCCCAGTTGTCTGGCATAGGATTAAGTAGTTCCCCTTCCTGGTATGATTGTGTAGATCTAGATAAATCAATGGCAGGCTTTAGTTTGCAGGCACAGCTGTGTCAGTGGTCAGATCAGCTGAACCATTCAGGGAATGCTTAAAAAAAAATAACATAGTTTGACTCAGAATATGTATTTCATTGCATTCATAGCATCAGGAATGCAAGTTAAATACTGTTCAATTCCAGTGTTTAGCTCCTGTTCTTGTCACAAGGAAAACAATGATTAATCAAACATCTTCTAATGACAAAAACTAAATCTATATATAGAATTGTTTTTGAAGATTTAGTTCTGATGTTGCTTTCCATTCACCTTATCCAAAAAAAATTCCTTGATCTTAAAATTACAATTTAGTCATTTGATTAAAATATCTTGATATAGATTAAATTGTGAATATGTTTAATGCTTTAACGTATGACAAATATTTCAAATAGAGAGATAAATGTATGTCATTCACAAAGGGAGACAATGATGCTGTTTACAAAGGGAGACAATGATGTCATTTGCAAAGGGAGACAATGATGTCATTTGCAAAGGGAGAAAATTTAAATAATTTATTTTTTTACTGATTGAATTATTCACCACAAATTTCTTTTTTAGAAATTAACATAGATTGTTTGATGACATCCCTATATTGGTTAAAGTTTACAAGTAGTATATATTAGGTTTTACCATCAATATTCATACTGGAAAAGTCCTGTTTGTTGTTAAATATATAGATATAGCATGTTTTCAGCAGCAGTTTTGTACATGTTTCAATATATACTGACTGGTTTACTAGTTTAATCAGACAGGACTGCCTTAACTCTTATCACTTTCCCTACCTCGGTATAATCTTTTTAAAATTGGCATTATCACTCGCTGATTGCCATCAGATTTCATCAGAATTGTATCCTGTAACTTACATGTCCTCCTAGAAGTCAAAACAAAATTATGTTAAAATGGCAGTTGTAGCTAAGAGCATTGCAGTCAAAATAAATTCCTGTGGCATGCATTATGCGAAACTGTTGTTACATAAAAACAGCCCTCTGGAGCTACGTTCTCACGTTTACTTCACAGCACGGTTTAAATCAATCTCACAATCTGTCCCAAGCCTAATACACAAGCATTCATGCATGTATTTGCATGGTAATGTTTTAACTCCAACGACTAGAATACAGTGGAGAGGTTTTATTGTTTCAAATCATATTACTCGAGACAGAAATGGATGAGTTCAGAGATACTCAAATTTGATAAGGCCAATGAAATAAATAATTTGTTTTAAATATTATCTCATTTTTAATCAAACTTTCATTCAATTTATGAAGGAAAATTGCCTTTCTGATACTCTGTTCAATGTAGTCTTTACCTCTGAATACAGCTTGAAGCCAAGATCTACAAAATTTCTGTTAGGCTGTGGAATAATTGATACTGTTTGTAACCAGATCATAGAAATGTAACTAGTTAGCTTCCATGCTCAATTATCAGTCAGTTTACTTACTAGCTCACCCATTCACAAACTCAATAGTTTACTTATTCACTAGCAAAACCCATGGATTAGGCCACCCATTCAGTAGCCCACAGGTTCACAAGCTCACATTGTTAACCCGTTCACTGATTTATTCAGCAGCTCACCTATTCACTACCTTCTCATCTGTTTACCCGTATAACCAGCTAACATGCTTCCTTTGAGCAAGATACTTTAAAATTAAAATTTTACTTTGGAGTTAAAACCTTTAGCTTTTACTGACACTTTGAAACACAAACCATTTCTTAATTTATTTCTTTCAAGCATTTTGACAATAAAATATTGTTTTTTCCTCAGATATATTCTGCCTGTATAAATTATTCAGCAAGGTTAAGTGTTATCACACATAACTATACCATGGCTCATAGCATTTCAATAATCTGCAATTCTAGCTAAGCATAGTAAGTAATCAGAATTGCTTTGCATTTTTGGATTTTAGTTCTACATAATAATCCACTTTCAAACCATCCAACAGTGTTTTCTTTTGTCATAATCTCATATCATATACAATGTACTTCTACTGGCCTGAAGGCAGTCTCAATCAAATAACGTACTTCTGTTGGCACAGGACTGTCTGGGTCAAATAATGTAGGTCTGTTGGCCCAGGACTGTCTGGGTCAAATAATGTAGGTCTGTTGTCCCAGTACTGTCTGGGTCAAATAATGTAGGTCTGTTGGCCCAGTACTGTCTGGGTCAAATAATGTAGGTCTGTTGGCCCAGTACTGTCTGGGTCAAATAATGTAGTTCTGTCAGCCCAGTACTGTCTGGGTCAAATGATGTAGTTCTGTTGGCCCAGTACTGTCTGGGTCAAATGATGTAGTTCTGTTGTCCCAGTACTGTCTGCGTCAAATAAAGTACTTCTGTTGGCCCAGTACTGTCTGGGTCAAATAGTGTACTTCTGTTGTCCCAGTACTGTCTGGGTCAAATAAAGTACTTCTGTTGTCCCAGTACTATCTGGGTCAAATAAAGTACTTCTGTTGGCCCAGAACTGTCTGGGTCAAATAGTGTACTTCTGTTGCCCCAGTACTGTCTGTGTCAAATAAAGTACTTCTGTTGTCCCAGTACTGTCTGGGTCAAATAAAGTACTTCTGTCCCAGTACTGTCTGGGTCAAATAAAGTACTTCTGTTGGCCCAGTACTGCCTGGGTCAAATAATGTACTTCTGTTGCCCCAGTCAGGTTACCACTCTTCTGTCAAATTTACAATGTTTATATTGCTTACAATCATTAGAAGACTTAGTAAAAAGCTCTATTTTACTAGCAAATGGATTTTTCTTGTAGATTTTCTTATTGCCATAGTTTAGAAGGACATAAAATTGTACATTGCTGTGAGGTAACTTAAAATCACAGATTATATAGTGCACACTTGTTTTTTCATAAACCGTCTTTATTGATAGTTATTCCAAATTATTGGAGAATGGAGAACAACGTAATAGATTCAGGTTATGTCAACCCTTAGACACATTGAGCATCTCTCACTCCTTTCTGGTACAAAGGAACAACCCTAAACAGCTTCAAAAAGTGACCTTCAAATAGGAATTGATTATGGAAAGAGATAAGAATATTTTAAACATTCTAATGATCTAAAGTCATGTGATCTATTAATAACCTTTTTTATTGCCTTCAGGATGACCTATAGTTACTCCGAGTTATAATAACAGTATACAGCGCCTCTCCTTGTTATGGTTAAGTGTGTTGCTTTTCCAGGAAATGAAAGTCCTACCTTGTACACATATACACACAGAGATGTGTATTAGTGGAGGTCAAGAGATCACATACTGACCACTGCTGGTCAGACTGTTATAAGACCGGACACATCTTAGGTTTATATCCATCAGACATCACACTGTCCCATCTGTCACTTTGTGCATTGTTTTTAAGCCACTCCAGGGGACTGACTAGATTATGTTAAAAGATGAGACACAATTTGCTAAGATAAGTTTCTATTCGGTGATATGTTTTCTGATGGTTGATGTTGGAGGTGGATACTGGGATAAGGGAAATAGAAGTAACTCATAGCACAATAATGATAAGTAAATATTTACCTAATACATATACAATATACATGTGGAAAATGAGAGGATAGGTAATGTATGTACGCTTGATTTGTGTCTGCAGCATAGGATTTAGGGAATAGGAGTGTCATGTAGCAAAAATTCTTTTAATCATATTGTTACAAAAGGATTTTACAATGGTCTGTAGTCACCTATTTTTAAGAAAAAAGAATACCAATATCCAGTAAAACAAACTTATACAAAAATAAATGCAGACCTTGAAATATGTTAAGCCCTCTAACTGATTTCCAGGACAGTAGGATTATTACACTTATTAGACATAATCATTTTAAAGTTATTTATAAATATTTGTGCAGTTGTACATACACTACACAAAGCCAATGATTAATGATACAGCAGACAATATGAAGTTGGTAAAATGTGGGCTCTTCCTTGGATGATGACAGTTCACATTAGTACAGGTTACGATACAATGTCTGACATACAACCATTAAGAAAAAATCCCTGTGCAATAAAATTTTTTGAAATGTAAAAGTAATTAATTGCCCTGAAGAGGACAGCTTTCCATGATATCAGACATTACCATCTTCATCCAAACTGCTTGTGTACCACTTATTAATCAGAGTTGATTTAATCTTAAAAGTCTTCATTTGAATACGATATCAATTAAGTGTAAAATTGTGACACTATCTCCCAGGCTGTGAATTGTGCTTGTTCCATAGTTAATGAGTCAGACATGTGAATCATAATCACTTTGGTCATCTTGTGTAATAACAACAAATTTGTGTGTGTAAATGACATCCTATCCTGTACACACATAGCAGTCATGATCATGTATAGGTCCTAAAGTCCAAGGCTTGCTGACAATGACATTGATATACTGTATTCCTGAAGCGGAAATCCTAGTATTGTTTTAAGAATCTCTTACCACTAAGATATCATTTCATAGGTATCTCATTGTCCTGTACATTTATACAAATGGAGTGCAGATGTTTTTCTTAACAGAAACAGACAATTATGAAAATGAGGTAAATGTCTATAGAGGGGTTAGTGAAGCAGTTTGTTGATAGGAACTGTATTATCGTTAAACCCAAGGTTATGAAACAGACTTTTATCATTAGTCTGTGTTTAGTCTGTATGTGACCAATAAATAATGTGTATGTGATTCCATGGTGATGTGGAAATATATATACTAGATAGTTATTTGTCATTTAATCTTTGTTTCAGAATTTAAAATTAAGACAAGCATAGACTGTTAATTAAATAGAGAGTTATCTCCCTTCGGTAAAGTCTGGTGTTACCTTTTTGGAACTTGAGAAAGTCAGACCAAATATATCATCTTGATGAAAACTCCATTACCAGGGTAATAGTGTCTTGAAAAGGTTAAAGATTTATTTGCCAATTTGAAATGGAAAATATTTGATATTGTGGTAGACTTAATTGCGATCAAGCATTGAAATGGTTATAGTTTGGTTGTAATGTTAGATAATGGACTAATTCCTTGTGTTTTAGAAACCAACCACTTTTACAGCAGTTAATTAGTAATAAATTTTAAATCTTAAGAGAATTTTTTCTTTTTACTTTTTCCAGTGTTTGGAGCCAGGGGATACTGGAACAGTGCGACGGCGAAACAAAACGGTGGTGACACCTAAAATGGCAATGGAAAGTTTTCGATTTTCTTTCCTGAATTCAGATGGTAAGTTATTGACATTTTTTCTGTAGCAACCTTACTCCTAGACAAGAGAGCAAGAACAGGTTAATACCAAGTTTAAATAAATTAGTAACCGAAAATCAAGGAATTCTTGCACAAAGGAATGGTTTGCATGGAGATCATTGCATGAAAATTTACAAAGACAGAGTAAAACCAGATACTACAGAAAGGAAAGTATCTGTTTCTTCATTCATCACATTTAATTTGTGGTTAAAACCGAGTAATTTTATCAGTCGTCAAAGTGAGACTGGGTTGTAGAGATGTAGCAGTTAACCTCACTTCATACAGTAGGGTAAGTATGAACAAGTAAAATTCTGTTAAAAGTAGCCACTATGAAATCATCTGTTCACATCTCATGGGATTTTCTTAGTTTAGTCCCCCTACCCTTCATTGATTTCATAGATATCCTTTATCAAAGAATTCATATGTCAACAAATCAAATTGATAAAACATTAAAAAATTGACATGAATAGATTTCAGTCATGTATTTTTCACATTAATCATCCGAAATGGTTCATTAATATAATTTAATTTGTTATTAAAACATTAATTATGGTAGATTACATCATTTTTATTTTACAAAAATATATATTTATACTATACAGTGTTTAAGATCTGTACACTATTGCCTGTAAAAAGTCCATCAATGTTGAAGTTAATTACTGGTAATTGGTACCTTCACCAAGAGAACAGGGTGTGTAGTGTTACATTTATGTTTTAAGCTGTAGTCCATCCTGGTCTGTATATGTAGTCAATCTCTGAATGTTTTAAACACCTATCAGTTTCTTTTCCCACATTCCCAAATGTTAAACTTGAAGTGTCTGCATGGTCAATAAAATAGCAATATCTGTCAGAAAAATCAAGCTCAGGTTTTGATATCACTTCATACAAACATTTTCCCCTGAAAAAAAGTCAACCATACACTGATAAAAAGTATAGATCGGTCCAAGTATATTCACTACAATTAACGTTGCTGTTTCTGTATGGATGGGCAATTTGTTATACCCAATTAATGTCCGTATCTACAACTGCATATAATGTACCTCATTAGGATGAATAGACAAGGGGATGATTTGTCTGTAATGACGAAACAAATTTTTTATTTGGCTTGGCTAAAGAACCCCAAAATGCATTGCCTGAATGTTTTTGGAACACTATAGATCTGAGATAGGTTTTGTGCCACAAAAAAGGACAAATTGAATTTACATTGGTAAGTATTCTAGCCTTACCATTGATTTTTGTAGCATTCCATTCCTTGTTCCCTGTAGTTATATGGAAAAACATGCTTTTATGAAACAAGAACTGGAAAAGAAAAATGTCAGTCATAAAAATACTGATGAAAAATTTACAACATGCTTGATGGAAGATTCGGGGAGGAGAAACCTAATCTTTTTATTTGTTTGATTTATCCCATGGGAGCCCCTGTAAGCCTCAGGTGTTTCTGCCCATGTTTATGCGGATGAAACCCCAAGGATACATGGGATGCGATTCTCTGAAAATTTTATGTACCCTGTCAGAATCCACCATACTTCACCATACAGAATATGACAATATTTCTTCTCCATGACAGCGTAGTGCTAGTGCACCTGTAATCCTCCAGTATATCTTTGACTACAGTCTGTAAAAACCCCCATTGGAGCCTCTTTATTCTCCATTGTAATGGCAGAAACCGTATCAGAGACCCTGTGATCCTGAAATACCTCTGTATTAAAGAGCCTTTTTATTCTCCAGTGAAATGGCAGAATCTCATCACACTCTCTGTGATGCTGCAATACCTCTGTATCAAAGAAGGATTTGCCTTGTTGTTCTACCTGGGAACCTAGGCAATACATCGTTGAGAACATTTGCTGGTATTTCTAGAAGATTCTTTAAATAGTATTCATCAGTCTGGTTTTAACTCCTATTTTAAAAATAGCATTGCAGTGATTTCTTCTGGAACTTTTAAGCCTAATAGAACAGGAAAGTGTGGAGTTTCATATGTCACTTTTCAGAAATAGATTTCATCCTTCAACACTATCTGTTGAATCATTTGGCCATCACTAACATCTTGTCTTCCACATCATTTGACCTCTTGTGCCATATCAAATTATCTCCCTTTTTTACCAGTGTTATCTTGAAGGCAAGAAATTGATTCTAAAAACATACTTTCAAGGTTGGAGAAAAAGATCAGTTTAGAAAAAGTAAATAAAATGTTTATCTTTCAAGTTAGATTAACTTACAGAGTCAGCATTTATTAAGCTTATATATCGAAATCCTCAGTAATATTGAATGAGAATCAGGGGAGATAAGTAAGAAGTATATTTTATGAGATCTTACCATTATTTCACTGGCATGAAGCTGGACTGCAAAGAACAATAAAATTTACAGGAAAAATAATAATATAGATAATAACAATATTTTAAGTGTTTACAAATAAACAGAACATTGGCAATGATATATGACTATAGCAAGGCTAATTATAGGCAATAGAGTGAGATATCGGTATTACTTGTGTACTTAGTGTGCTATCAGTAAAATGGTTAGCCATGCCAGAAACTCTTTTGCAAAGGGAAATATATGAGGTGCTGTTGTGGTGCCCAGACTTAACTTTAAAAAACATCTAATTATTTGATTTGATCACTATTTCTTCAAAGAATTATTGATCTGTAAAATATCAACCAAAGTTATGTCTACTTTGTGTGTCCACTGTTCTGTGGTCTGGTGTATGATACCAGTAGGCTTTAGGGCTAATGTACTGGTGAAAACACTAGACCCAAACCTTTTACTGAATGATGAGCTGTGTACATAGCCTCCAATCTGTAATGAAACTTTGTGAAAATGTAACCAAGTGTCTGTGGAAAGATAACACACTCCCACAGATTTGTTTCATGTCTGATTAAATTATCCTTCTCTGTTTGCCTTCATGCCCACCATATTTGTCTATACAACAGATTGTTGGATGTTCACTATTTTTTCTCTTTGTCTAGACTTCATGTATTACACAAATCTTTCTAAAGAAATTAACGTCTGTGTCAAAAAAGAAAACATAACTTCCTAGAAAAAGTGAAAATCCATTTTCCAAATAGTTTTGATACATCTGCCTCCACTTTATCTATCTCTTGGCGTGTGATTCCACAGATTACATACAGGATGTTAAGACTTGGACTTCCAGCAAATTTTAGAATATACACTTTCAAATGTGGAAATAATAGACTTGATAATGTGTTTTAGGTACTGTAAGGGGTGTTATTGATGGTTTTTTGCAGTTTTTCCAAAAGCTGGAAACAATTACAAAATCCTGAAACAGTACGCTTTTCTTTAATCATCTTACCCTCATGGGATCTATTTTATGTGATTTTGTTCTATGTGTGAACATAGCAAAACTTAATTCTAAAGATTGTAAAACTGACCTAGCTATCCAAGAACTACCTGTCAGCTCTCATAGAACTGACCAAGTTATCCCAGACCTAAATGTCAGCTATCATAGAACTGACCAAGTTATCCCAGAACTATCTGTCAGCTATCATAGTACTGACCAAGTTATCCCAGAACTATCTGTCAGCTATCATAGTACTGACCAAGTTATCCCAGAACTATCTGTCAGCTATCATAGAACTGACCAAGTTATCCCAGAACTAACTGTCAGCTATCATAGAACTGACTGACCAAGTTATCCTAGAACTATCTGTCAGCTATCATAGAACTGAACAAATTTTTCCATAAATAGGTAAGCTGCCAGTTAGCTGCCTTTTATCAAAAACTGACCAAAGCATCCAAGATTTTTTTACTCTTTCTGAAAAGCTAACTATTCCAGAACTGAACTAAGTAGTCCTGAAAAACTATCAAAGAATTGACTGATATATACAGACTACTGAACTTAATTACTCAATTATTTCAGGCACATAGGATGTATGGGCGTTTTTCATTATAAAAAAGAAAAAGTCAAAGTTACCAACAATGATTGTCTCAGAGATAAAATCAATTATGTTTTTGTCATAGACATGTTATATGAAAAGAACATTACACTACATACAACATCAGTGAAAAAGATAGACTTGCTTTTGCATCAATAGCAACTGTTTGAATTGTATATAGGTTTTCTCTGTGATAGTCTAAGTGTATGAGTACATGAGCTAAAACGGAAAGATATATATAGTAATATATCTTCTAATTCATCCGTATGAACTTAGCACTAATTAGACAATGATTGACCAAACAGTAAACACATTCTGAGGTTGTGGTGCAGTAGGAAGTGTAGAATATCCAGCTTCCTTAATCCATCAACTTGTAACTCCACCCAATATATAAGGACAGATACACAGATACATTTACTTCCCCACTGTCTACGTTTTGTCTCTGTTTTTTTTTAAGATTCCATATGAAGATTTTATTTAATTGCATGTTAGGTACCTGTCATTTTATTGTTATTGTCAGGGAGGGAGAGAGAAGGAAGCCACTTGTATTGACATGTCTGACCCTGCATGTGTGGGAGGACAAAGGGGGCATTCCTAATCTCCAACTGGTGTACATTATAAGGCTTGGTCTTGTACACTCCCCCTCCTTACTATCAACAAACTCCCCAAATTGTTCTATTAATAGACACCATGTGGCCATTCATGATTCAACTATCTAGCTAGCTCCATGCTTTTGTGTAGAGAAGGTATTGGAGAGTATGTAACATATTACACAGTACAACCTCAGGGTTTATCACCTAATCAACTGGAATCAGTCCTTCAAGTGCAGACAGGAAGGGAAAGAAACATGGCCTAGCATTTTGACCTTTGCCCTCTGACATGCTGGCATCATAGTAGAAGACTGTGAATGGTTTGTTGTATATCAGACTAACGAGGGAGTGCAAACCAACAAGCCGATTTGATTTAGCCGTTTCAAATTCTGTTGTGAATATTAGTTATTTTCCCTTGGATTTATCTTTAGCCTTGAACTTATATAGCTCTTCATGAAATAGAGGTAAGATTATCGTGTTAAACTAAACAGCAGTTAAAAAATTTAATGCTGTTAATTGTGATGTATTTCTGTTTTAGTGGATAGAATTTTGAATTCTTCAGGATATTCAGGTTTGAAAGCATTGTGACATAAAAGGTACTGTTTGATATACAAAGTCCAAATTTTTCTTAATATTTTTTGAGATGTCAGGCACATTTATAACAGGTTGAATTCTAAGAAACATAAAAGACGTGTTAGCACTGTGTTGAGTAGATAATTATATCATAGCTAATTGGCAGGGCAGGTATCTGTAGCCACTTGTCAGTCAAAAGGATAAGTGGAAACTGAACTGTCTGAACGGAAATGAACCTATTTTGTACCAGATTTCATCACGGTATCAACTAGTTGTGTACTATGTGAACCTTCTTAAGTTGTCTGTTACCAGAATTTATCACTGCATGAACCCTTTCTATTGCCAGAATGCATTGCTGCATGAACCTTTCTTTTACCTAAATACACTAGTGTGAATCAACAAATGATATATTCTGACCTATAGTATGTCTGTTGGAAAAGTTGATCCAAGTGAAAGATGACCGAGATTGTCAAAGAGTTGGGTAAACAGCACTGCTAAATGTAGGGTGACTGGACTGTTCCAAGAATTGGATAAACTGGTATGGCCATGAGTTGGGTAAACAGCACAGTCTAAATGTAGGGTGACTGGACTTTCCATGAGTTGGGTAAAGTGGGACTGGCTATGAGTTGGATAAAATGGACTGTCCAAGAGTAGGGTAAACTGGTTTGTCCACGAGTTGGTAAACTGGACTTTCAAAGACTTTTGTAAGCTGGACTGGCCAAGAGTTGGGAATGCTGGTCTGTCCCAGAGTTGGTAAACTGTACTTTGCAAGTCGTGTAAGCTGGCTTGTCCAAGAATTGGGAAAGCAGGAATTTCCAAGATTTTAGTTAAGAGTACATCCCGAGAGTTGTGTAAATTGGAATGTCCAAGAGTTGTGCAAATCTGGACTTACCAAGGGTTGTGTAAACCAAATGTCCAAGTGTTGGGTAAACTGGACTGTCTACAATCTGTGTAAACTGGACTGTCCAAGAGTTTGGTAAAGAGACTGTCCAAGAGTTCATGAGTAAACAGAACTTTCCACGATTTTGGTAAAGAGACTGTCCAAGATTTTGGTAAACTAGACTGTCCAAGAATCTGGTAAACTGTACTGTCCAAGAGTTTGGTAAACTGTACTGTCACAGAGTTTGTTAAACTGTACTGTCCAAGAGTTTGGTAAACAGGACTGTCACAGAGTTTGTAAACTGTACTGTCCAAGAGTTTGGTAAACTGTACTGTCCAAGAGTTTAGTTTATCCAAGAGTTTGGTAAACTGTACGGTCCAAGAAATAGGTAAACTGTACTGTCCAAGAAATTGGGAAACTGTACTGTCCAAGAAAAAGATAAACTGGACTGTCCAAAAGTTGGGTAAACTGTACTGTCCAAGAGTTCATGAGTAAACAGAACTTTCCATGATTTTGATAAACTTACCAAAATTTTTTAGGGACTATCCAAGTGTTTGGTAAACATGACCATCAACGAGGAAGTGTTCATGAGCAGGATAAACAGATCTATATATATTTTTAAAAAGGGTTTTCATTGTGGGATATGGTGTACTAAAGGTTTACATGTGTTCAAAATTGTTTGGTACATATTGTACAAAATATATCTATAAAAAGAGGAAATATATTGTTGGGTACATGGTTTACCAGGGAATATTTGTGTACAAGTTGGTTGATGTTGTTGGGTACATGGCCAATACTGTCCTCCTTATAGACTTGTTGAGAAATTTCTTTGTAAGAAGATCAATACCATTGGGTATATGCTGTCTGGCTTTTGTATCCCTTACTGGAGGAATGTTAATTACTTTGCCAGGTCTTACAGATCTTCTTCCTTAAGTTCCCTTTGAAATGAATCTCAGATAAAAGTATATTGAATTAGAAAGAGGGATGGTTCAAAGCTTCAAGAATACATTATATCTGTGTATAGAACTGCAGAAATTGCTATGGTCGAAATATTGGCATACATATATACATACAGTGACATATATATGTTGTTATCTCATCATTATCAATTCTGATCATTTCTAAAATTTCTGATTCAGACCTTAATCATCTTCTAACATCTGTTTTGTTTGGCTATATCCTCAAGGATCCCTGCTATCTTATTGGAACTTCAAGGATAAAACTGATTCCAAAAATGTTTCATTAAAAAGTGCACAGTTTGGCATATAGCCTTTTAAGATAGATCTTTTTCATTAAATTGTGATTACATATGCCAGGGTCTGACATCTGCCAAACTATGGAATAAAGAGATGGAATTATTAATGGATACCTGAAAATCAGTTAACGATTCTTCAAAACGTTACAACAATATTGGTACTTGTGGATTTCATGAGGAAATGGTATTTGATCAGATCTTCTGTATCAAATTAAAAGATTGATAAATTTCTTTTCTATAATAGCCATCAATAATTTTCATCCAAAATAATTATGGAAGAAAAACCTGTAAGGTTTTAAATTCCACTTTTTGCAACCCGAACAACAAAGAAAACCAGCAATTAGTTTTCAAAATAAGAATTCCATTGCAAAAACTACAAATAAGTTGACGTAATTTGACATGTATCCTGTATGAATTTCACAGCAATGAGTATTTTTTACCAAGCATTTCCAGAGTGATGTAAGCAATGAACTCCAGAACATGTACGGCCCTTCCGTTTACAGGAACATTTTGCCAGGTTTTGACGTCTGCTTTTCGTCTGATATGTTCTGATGGGGAATGTGTACTTTCAGATCACTGGAATTGTATATGCAGACGACCAGGTCTTGATTCAGATTTGTAAAGATAACTGTTTTCATTATATGTTACATCAAAGCTAGACGAGTCTTTGACTTGTTATAGAACACTTGAAGCTCTCCACTTAACAAAGTTCATGGCTGGTAACAATGAACTGGTGCATGTTTAAGGAACAGGTACTTGTTTCACCTGTGTGAAAGCATTGGGAGAGATAGGGTTTGATGTTATTGTCAGATAGTATTTACAAATTCTTCTCTTTTTTTGTTCTATTCTTGTACATAACACATTCAGGATTTTGTTTTGGTAAAGAATGCTTAAATAATATAATCAAAAGGAAAATTGAGTGAATTTCAAAACAAATTGACATCGATACGCAAGACAGTATTTGGTTCGGATGGTGACTTCAGTTGACCTATGTAGTTTAATGTGAAAAAATATTGAATAATTTAGAGTGACCACAGTTAACTGGGTTATTGTTATAAAACTGTGACTAGCTATTGTTTTCTTAATTTTGTCTTTGTTTTCTTTTCGTAGAATCTCAGGATGTGAATTTCGATGCAATTCTTGGGGAATTATGTGAACTGGAAACACAACTAAGTACAACACAATCAGAGCTCTCCCGGTCTCATGGTCTGGGTATGTCATCGGGGCTGGCAAAGGACGAACATCGAGACAGTGGCAACGACTTAGCGCAGGCCGAACTTGACGCACTGGCAACAGAAATTACCCAGACGTTTGGATATCGTCATAGTGTGCAATATGGTGGTGATCATGAATTTCTTCATGGAAATTTTTTATCAAAACATGGATCATGTTCAGATCTTACCGGTGAAACAGATTCTGCTTTCTCAGAAAATGCCTCACTTCCATCTTCAGAATCTTTTACATCAATGGTTACTGTATCCTCCTCAGCAGAGACATCTAGTGGTGGGGATACAAGCAGCACCGCAAGTAGTGCGAGTACCATTACGCCACTGTCAATGCAAGCATCGGAGGTAAGTTTAGTTTGAGACAAATAACGTAACTTGTTTTTTTTGTTTCAGAAACGTTTTATTTTTCAGCAACATTACCGTTATGGAAAATAAATTGCACATTTGAATGTGAGTGAAATATATATAAGGAATTCTAATCATGTAACCTGGATATATGTTCACGATCTAAAAATTCTCCATCATCATTTATCATACATATTGAGATGGGAATCCTTTACATGTATGTCTTATCTTTTACTAAATGTTACTTAATCAGAAGCAGTCAATTATAGATATGTTCCACTTAAAGTTCAAGAAGAAAGTCGTGGCCAGTCAGGTTGAAAGTAAGAAGAAACTGAATACCGTGTTACTTCAGCTACACTTAAGTTTTGAAACTTAAGTGGTTTTCCATTAAGGTTACTTTGTACATACTGTTTTTATTACTGTCCCTACCAAGTTTTCCATCATGTCATTAATAATTTCTGTTAGATATGGGTTATAATTATACAAATCTCTTTGGTTAAATGGTGAGATGGTTAAGTTCCATTAAAGTTATTTTGTATATATTTACTTTTTACTGTTCCAAATATAGGTATCAATCACTTAGCTGTGGACACTTTTTATTACAGATTTTAATACAAAATCTCCTTTTACTTTATTTATTTAGTTTGCATGTGTTTTTATCTAAAATCAAGATACTGATGTATAAATCTATCTTCTGTAATAATAGGAAAATGTTCCATGAGCAAAAGAAGGTGTTATTAGGTTTCTTCCTCGATAGAAAGTGTAACCCTGATAAAAAACTTTGATTAAATGGTCCTGCTGTTTCTGTCCACAAATGACATCCTTTCCCAATCTTGTAAAGTGAAGATGTCAATAGAGAAACATCATCTTATTGCCAGACAATGATATAGTATTTTGTCACCATTTCTGCTGGAGCTTGAATATATGCCTGTAGGGTTATTACTAGACATGTGCCACAAAAATAGGGTAAATTTGTTTTTTGTTTGAAAGAAATGATATAGATGTTTTAGATTTGGCCATGGAATAAAGTTCATATTTTTAGGGGAGGTAACTCTTTGATCTTTTTTCCTAATGATTTATTTGTCAACAAATGTAACAGTGTAGCGAGTGGTCAGTAATTAGTCTTGTCCTAACAACTATCAAGGGAACATTCGTTAATGAAATAAATGTAATATTCTTATTATCAGGGAGATTGTTTGCATTTTGCCATAGAATTAGAAACAGGTAAACAGGTAATGAATTATGTTTGTTTTGAGAACTAGCAGCCTGGTACCAATCTGTTCATCAACCTAGTGACTGTTCCTGGTATAACCTAATATACATACATGTTGTACAGGAGCAGGTTACTGTGACTTGTTTATAATGTTACACAGCCACTCAGCTGACAGAACATGTTTCCTGGCTGAGATGGTAGAGCCATATTGGTTTACCAGACATGTTACCTGGGTTAGATTCCAATTGGGGTTCTTAGTAGGAATGTCTTTTCCCCTGTTCTGTTGCATTGTAGCCCAACCAAATCCCATAGAATGTGGTACTTTATGTTTGGTTGTCAACAGGAGTTTTTTTGTCCACCTTGTCAATTCAAATAACCCTCCCTACATTCAAGGCCATCATCAGTCTTAAAACAATGCATGCTATTCTTATTTCTTGAGAAGTTTTACATGGATCTTTCTCACATTTCATTTGAAGGTTTCTCTTTGTCCCTAACAAAACAAATAGAATGGCTGACAGGTAGCCATCTTTAATTTGACAAAAGATCATTATCACTATTTTTTTGTGCAGTTACACACAAAAATAGAGAAGAAGGGAAAAGATCCCACTTTTGAAGAACAAAAACAAAGATTAAACTACTGTGGGTACCAAGGTCCTTCAGGGATCTCTTGCTCCCATTTTTTAACATATGTAATTTCCAATTCATAGATGTTTTCTATTCATGGCTTAAAGCTTGACTTTTCAAAATCGTTTTACAGAATGTTTTGATGTAAGAATGATTACAGCTACAGTACTACATTGTAATGACATTGTACAGTGTCATTGTTAAGTGACATTGGTACAAACCTCTGAACTATATGTATTTTCTTAACTGCATGATTCCACATCAACAAAGCTAGTTACTGAATTAAAAACAAATGGATAGTTAAGATAAATTTATCCAATATGTCTCCGTGAAGTGTGAACAGAAGAGTTCCTATTTTCTAAGCCATTTCTACACTTGAACTATTGAGTTAGGTAAATTAATTTAAACATTATTGCCAGAGATTATTCTTGGTTTTAGGGAGAGAAACCCCAGGTTGCAGGGGAAAGATATAGACTTAGCAATCAATCATTAGAAATCAAGGGGAAAGCTTAAACCAAGGTACATGAAGCAAGCAGAGACTACAATGGAAGTCTAGACTGAGGGCAAACCCCAATTTGTTTTTTTAAAGAAATAGATTAAAAATGGTGCATTCTGGGAGCATTTGGTGGTATTATTTCAAACTGAACATAAAGAATTATTCAGTTAACAAAAGTTGAAGACTGAAAGACTAAAATTGTCATTAGTGATGTTGAAAAGTTCTCAGTGAGAAACTTTTGCTCATTTTTTATGGAGGGGAAACTACCCATATACAGCATCAAAAGGAGCCATTATTGGGGCATGATTGTAGCTGAATTTGCTGTTGAAATGCATGCAATGCAACATTTTCCCCATTTTTTTATCTAGTTCTTTATTATTTCATATAAAGTTGTCGCTTGACTTGACTTATAACCTTTTATTGAAGCATGACTTATGCCCTGCTGTTAAATATCTTATTTAATTCAACTCACATGTCAATTTTTTAGTTTCATGTTTTGTTTTTTGGTTTTGATTTTTGTTTGCAACATTTGCTGAACATAATCTTAAGTTTGATTATTCTGAGTTTTGTAACATTTGACCCCTGAAGGTTAACATTTAACCTTAGTGTTTTGTTTTAACCTTTGAACTTTGATGTTGTTGTAGATGCATGAGATGCTGATGTCACAATTAAGTTTGTATGAGGAGCAGCTAGAATTGGAAAACCACCCCCTTGTAAGTGGGATATGTTGATTCCAATATTCCAATCTCTGTACGTGGGGGACCAATTGATCTCTTACTTCTTGTATCAAAATCATACATCATACCCTTGTATATGGAACAAATCTCCCATCCCTTATATTTGGAACAAATTTCAATTTCCTGCTCTTGTATATGAGACAAACATTTATCCCCTAATCTCTTGTAAACGAGTCAACCATGAATTCTGTGCCCTTATGTAAGGGACAAACATCAATCCCTTACCTTGTATGTGGGACAAACATCAATCTCTTACCTTTTATGAGGGACAAACATCAATCCCTTATCTTGTATGTGGGTCAAACATCAATCCCTTACCTTGTATGTGGGTCAAACATCAATGCCTTATCATGTATCTGGGAGAAACATCAATCCCTTACCTTGTATGAGGGACAAACATCAATCCCTTACCTTGTATGAGGGACAAACATCAATCCCTTACCTTGTATGTGGGTCAAACATCAATGCCTTATCATGTATCTGGGAGAAACATCAATCCCTTACCTTGTATGAGGGAAAACATCTATCCCTTATCTTGTATGAGGGACAAACATCAATCCCTTACCTTGTATGTGGGTCAAACATCAATGCCTTATCATGTATCTGGGAGAAACATCAATCCCTTACCTTGTATGAGGGACAAACATCTATCCCTTATCTTGTATGAGGGACAAACATCAATCCCTTACCTTGTATGAGGGACAAATATCAATCCCTTACCTTGTATGTGGGTCAAACATCAATGCCTTACTTTGTATGAGGGACAACCATCAATCCCTTACCTTGTATGTGGGTCAAACATCAATGCCTTATCATGTATCTGGGAGAAACATCAATCCCTTACCTTGTATGTGGGTCAAACATCAATGCCTTACCTTGTATGAGGAACAAACATCAATCCCTTACCTTGTATGCGGGTCAAACATCAATGCCTTACCTTGTATGAGGAACAAACATTATGTGTCACATGATGAAAGATGATCATGTGATGATCATGGTGAAGCATTATAGTGAGGTGGAAGTTTCAGTTCACCATCCCATCTCCAACAGTCTAAAATGTTTATTTGTAACTACCAAGTAGACAATTACATCTTTTCTGATGAAGGCAGCAACAATTTACAAATTATCTCATGTTACGATGCTAATCATGTTGTGTGTAAAGAAAATTCGATTTGAATATGGTTATGCCACAGTTGAAGATCAAAGTTGTGTTAAAATATCTTGATGTTGAAACCTAATTTTTGTCAGAGATATAAATAGCGTATATATACCAGGACACTGGTGGTGGGGTTGGGCAGTGGTAAAGCACTTGCCTTTCACCAAGCATCCAGGGTTCTAATCCCAGAATGAATGTGAATAGGTATGATGTCACCAGCCGGACCACATGGATTTTCCACAGGTGCTCTGGTTTCCTCCCCAGGAAGACAATGTACAATTCCATTCAGGCCAACAAGACTGATTAATATAAGCTGATGGCTTGTTTACATTATATTCCATTGGTGGAAAGGCTCAATTGCAAATACACTTTTAATTAATTTTAAGTGTTAACACAAACTGTCTGAATGTGCTCACAAAATCTTCAATTCTTCACAAAAAGGAAGTTGATAATCCTATAGATAAATGTATTTCTTGTATTTTGATCCTAACACTTTGGTTTGGCATGGCGTGTGTGCATATTTTTCTATATCTACCATCATACACTCCCACAAACTGCCAAAAATATTGATTAACAACTTTATTTATACTTTGGCCCCAACTGAACCTTAAATAGAAGAAGAAACTGTTCTAAATTTAATTAAATGTTGTTTTGGTAATGTTGGTTAACCAGTAAATGTGGTGTGTGCATGGCCATGCAATTATCATATTCTGGTATATGTGTTTTTTCCCCTTTACTTTCAGTGTTGTAGGAAATGTTGTACCTATGTTGTGTTTTTTTTTTATGATATTTACACTTTCATTTAACTACAGTAACACCTTACATTTGTGGGTGGGTCGGGGAAATATTACGGTATAGCTATTGATTTTGTGTTTGAACTGTGTAAGTACAGGTCAATTATCAAACAATTTTAATCCACATCTCTATAATCCTTTTATGTTTACTGTTCACAGGAAGAACAGAGAGCTCGTTTAAAAGCTGAAAAGATCCGCATCGCCCTGGAAAAAATAAAAGAAGCAAAGATACGAAAGGTAAGTTTCCACTGATACAGTTAACCGGGCCTTATAGCACATATCCAAGTTCCTTATTTTTTTAAGTTTCACAAAATCTTCTGAAAAGTAATGTAAGCATTGATTCCTTTAGGATTTGATTGTCACTTTTTAGTGAATACTTTCATGACATTAATTAATTTGACCTGGATTTACGTGTTAGATGTCATCAATAAAGCAAAAAACACTTACCCTTGAGGAACACCTAGTGTTATTTGTCCTCCATATTTACAAGGATCACTGTGTCAGCCTATCACTAGTAAGTTAGAATTAGATTTGTTGTACTATCAGTATTCTCTTACACTATTTTTCATTAAGCCTTTCACATTAATCTTTCAGCTGTTTGTTCGAGCATTTGCTAAAGATGGAAGTAGTAAAAGTATTCTGGTGGATGAAAAGATGTCCATCGGTCAAGTTTGTAGTACACTGGCTGATAAAAACCATGTCAGGGTCAACTCAAAGCTTGCAGTTGTGGAGCACATGCCAGATCTATTCATGGGTGAGTTTCTATCTTGTCTTTACTGTATATATGGCAAAATATCTGTGCAACCTCATGAACATTTGTTTTAGTCACATGAGAAAATGTTTTTTACCTTTAGGTTCAGATGTTAACCCATGTTTTGTTTTCATTTTATTGATGAAATGAGCAAAAAGTTAAACTGTTAGGAAAGTTTCCCCAGATACAGATTCACAGATTTACATTAAAAAGTATTCCAAATCATCAGTTTTATACATACATGGACAATCTGGATGGAATACTTGGAACTGCAGAAATCAATTTTGTACAATGTATTGATACTTTATAAGAACTTCTGACGTGTGTGGTAATACCATTCTGATGTGTGTGGTAATACACTTCTGACATATGTGGTAATACAATTCTGACGTGTGGTAATACTTTTCTGACGTGTGTAGTAGTACACTTCTGACGTGTGTGGTAATACACTTCTGACGTGTGTAGTAGTACACTTCTGACGTATGTGGTAATACACTTCTGACATTTGTGGTAATACACATCTGACGTGTGTGGTAATACACTTCTGACATTTGTGGTAATACACTTCTGACGTGTGTTGTAGTATATTTCTGACGTGTGTGGTAATACACTCCTGACGTATGTGGTAATACACTCTTGAATTGTGTGGTAATACACTTCTGACGTGTGTGGTAATAAATTCCTGACTTGTGCAGTAGTACACTTCTGACGTTTGTGGTAATATACATCTGACGTTTGTGGGAGTGCACTTCTGATGTGTGTGGTAGTACACTTCTGACATTTGTGGGACTGCACTTCTGACATGTGTAGTAGTACACTTCTGATGTATGTGGTAATACACTCTTGAATTGTGTGGTAATACACTTCTGAAGTGTGTGGTAATACACTTCTGACGTGTGTGGTAATACACTTCTGACGTGTGTGGTAATAAATTCCTGACGTGTGCAGTGGTACACTTCTGACGTTTGTGATAATACACATCTGACGTTTGTGGGAGTGCACTTCTGATGTGTGTGGTAGTACATTTCTGACATTTGTGGGAGTGCACTTCTGACGTTTATGGTAATACACATCTGACGTGTGTGGTAATACACTTCATTTATATTTTACAATCATAACACCCAATGTAACCAACAAGACATAGTATTATCATGATCCCAAATGCCTTATCTTGGCAGTGAAGGTCTATTAGTTTGCTTACTATTGGCATCCAAGTCTTTTACTACAATGGAGACCCAAATCTATTGAATAAGTGGGAGTGAGAAAAGGTTTATTTTACAAGAGGGCAATATATCTCTTAAATTTGACTGTAAAGACACCTGGGGAACTATAGTTACAATATTAGTGGAATATTTAATGTGATGTTTCACTTGATTTATTTTTAAAATCTTCCATAATTTAGAACCTTCTTTGTTATTGGTCCTCTTGATATTGATGGTGTGGATAACATTTCTCTGAATGGCTTGTCACAGACCATATCCATCCCACAAGATTGAATTGTATGCGGGGATGTGTTGCGAAGGTCGTCTACTAAAGGGTTGCTCTGGTCTCATGGCACTAATTACTGCCCAGTGTTATGGTTAGGGTGCGACGCTCTCTAGAATTATTGTCCCATGAATATTCATATCTTTCAGATGCAATCTGTGTGGTGACATTCTAAAGAAGTATGGTAAATGTCATAACAGTTGTATACCCAAAAAATGTCAACAGATTCAAGAAAAATTCTAGAAGTAGCGTTATACTTCTACAACTCCTATCTTGTTTTCTTATTTCCATTTCTTCACTCCAGTCAACATTAATGTGTTATTGAATACTAGATATATTCAGGATGAAAACAATTTCTTCCTAAATGAACTTGGATACAAAAAACCCCAAACATTTGCAAAGTATAGAATTTCTGATCATCTTTTCTACACTCGTATCACAATTTTTGGTTTTTTTTTTATGCCTCTCTTTATTTTTACACTTTACCTTTCCTTTTCTTCTTTTATACTCTGTCTTTAAATCTCTTTTTACCTCTTTCTGTAGCCATCATGTTTTGTCCATTGTCATGTGCCATGCACTTTGCACCATGTGTCATGCGTAAACTTTTTACATTTTCAACTTCTACTGAAGTTTCCCTTGAGAGGGATTCATCTGAATCCTGTTTGAAATGATCCTGAGATGATCCTGACCAAACTTTGTTATTTTTAGTGTTCCTTCAAAATCCTTTTTGACCACCATCTTTGAAAACACATTTCAACCATTTCAAGTTTGAACAGTGCAAATGAGCTGAAATTTTGTGTGAATGTGGAGAAACTGAAATGAAAAATGGCGTTTTACCTTTGTTACTGAAATATTTTGAAATATTTAAATCCTTTAATAACTTTTTACTACTGCTTCTGTTTCTTAGACATCCCTCAGATAAATCACAGATGACTGTTAAGGTCCTTTGGGCCTTTTGTTTTCTCTCCTCTTACTATTCCTCCTGTCTCTTCCCTCATCAGTTTTAATTTCTTATTTTTGTTTTTAAATTTAAATCAGCAGGCTTCATGTATACCTGTAATTGTGAAAAACCTACATTACATACATTTAATACCCAGAACCTGAAAACATCAACCAAACCTGACCTATCTGTACCAAAGAATCTTTAGTAATGTAAAGGTTCATGTAATCACAAGTCTCCTATAGCTCTAGCAAGTCTTCAAGTGGTCCAGTCTGAGTTGTCTGTTTTTAGCCTGCCCTGTAATTACAACATTTAACATCACAAGAGCTGCAGGATAACCATTTTCTTTATTGCTCTTCTATGTAATTGCCAGCACATTTTCATGATAAACTTTCCTAAAAAGTGTGAACCAATCAAAGAATTCTTCCAGTCCATTATTGGTAGATCAGCCCAACTAATTACTAGCAAACGGAAACAATGACTTACGTCTTGTCAATTGAAAAAAAAAAGAAAACTTGTGAATTTCAGTTGGATCAATATTTGAGAGTTTTTATTTTTACTTTTAAATTTGATCTTTGTTGTAAGGAATCGGTTCTTTAGCATGTTTCTTATTACTTGTCCTGTTTATTGAAGTTTGTCTGTTGGATGTCTTATAAACCAGCTTGAGATAAATCTCATGAGGTTATGGCTGAGGTACACAGCTGAAAATTTTATAATTTACAATATCTCATCATTTGCAGAATTCCTCATTGACCCATAAAAAACAGGAATTGGCTGTGTATATGATTAATAAGGTTAATTATTTTTGTGAAGTTTTCTCTCAAAGCATTAAAGTTTCTTGTTAAGTTGTCATGGCAGTGCTGTAATACATCTATAGGGATGCTTTGTGCTATGCCTGGTGTGGCTTGACAGACAGTTACAACAGGAAGTTGCTCTAGAGAGTACTGTTGTAAAAGTCTAGAGGCAGCCTTTCTCAAGTAGTGGCTCAGCTGTGATAGGCAGCTGTGTTCCGGGCAAATTTCAAAAATAAACACTAAAAAGCAAAAAACAAAACTAACAAAAACAAAATCTGGAGTATCATTACGTAAAATGGAGCCAATCCCAGCAGCACAATGTTGTTTCTGAAAGTTTCACCATGAAGAGGTTTTCCATCTTGTGATTGTGTTTCATTGTGTTCAGTTTTCGATGCTGATCATCCTATGCTATATAACTGTGTTGAGAAATCGTTATACTCCATTATCTATATATCTAGATAATTTGATATTTTTAGACCAACTTTATATGTGTTTTGTATCTCATTGTGCAATTAAAATGGATTATTTTACAAAATTGTTGGAGGAAATGAGATCTCACTTGTACAAATTTCGTTTCTGGAAGACAAAAAATGCAGGTAATTTTGTTCGTGCCATAAAATAAAGTGATTCCTTGTAATCAAGAAGTACAGTTAATATTGAGTCTCCTCCACTGATTTGTTATAATACATTCTGATGTAGTGGTCACCTCCAGGCCCCTGTTGCTCAAAGGTTAAGAGTTAACCCATGGTTATAGTGAAAAATTAAAATTCCTGACACTGACCTGGCAAGGCATTATTAACAGCATAAATAATGTCCCCAGTTCTGTTTAATTTGTCAAGACAATTTTTCACTAACCACTGGTTGTCTCTAACTAGCCATTGAACTACGACGGCCTTGTGGCCATCACTGGCTATAGATTACATCACTTTGCTGTTGTTAATTATCTCCCTTGTCAATTTTTCAGAGCGAATATTAGAGGATCATGATTCCTTGGTAGAAAACATGGTGATGTGGACGAGGGACAGTAAAAACAAGATCATGTTTGAGGAACGCCAGGAAAAATATGACTTGTTTCGGAGACCAGAGGTAATTATTGTACTAATTTAACTGAATCTGTATCAATAAAAGACCATTAAAGATACAATTTTCAGTTATGGATGTTGTAAATTCAAATACACTTTAGTTCAAAGTTCTCCTGACTAATGCCATTTGAAAGGAATTTTCTATTTTTGCCATAGAAAAATGCAGGCAGGGAATACTGTTGATGTACATTGTTTAGTGGTTTTGTGATATCTTAAGTCATAAATTTTTTATTAGAGGTACAGATTTATCTGTGAAGTTGTTGTTTTAGTGGTAATCCTATTTCAGTGGTAATGTTATTTGTGTGGGTATAATCTTATTTAATGGTAATCCTATTTATGTGGTAGTGTTATTTGATTGGATGTAACGGTGATGTAATTTGAGTCCATTATTAAATGGTAATATTATTTGAATGGATGTAACCATGATTTAATGGGGATCCTATATTTAATGGTAATCCTATTTATGTGGTAGTGTTATTTGATTGGATGTAACCTTGATGTAATTTGAGTCCATTATTAAGTGGTAATATTATTTGAATGGATGTAACCATGATTTAATGGGAATCCTATATTTAATGGTAATCCTATTTATGTGGTAGTGTTATTTGATTGGATGTAATGGTGATGTAATTTGAGTCCATTATTAAGTGGTAATATTATTTGAATGGATGTAACCATGATTTAATGGGGATCCTATATTTAATGGTAATCCTATTTATGTGGTAGTGTTATTTGATTGGATGTAACCTTGATGTAATTTGAGTCCATTATTAAGTGGTAATATTTTTTGAATGGATGTAACCATGATTTAATGGGGATCCTATATTTAATGGTAATCCTATTTATGTGGTAGTGTTATTTGATTGGATGTAACAGTGATGTAATTTGAGTCCATTATTAAGTGGTAATATTATTTGAATGGATGTAACCATGATTTAATGGGGATCCTATATTTAATGGTAATCCTATTTATGTGGTAGTGTTATTTGATTGGATGTAACCTTGATGTAATTTGAGTCCATTATTAAGTGGTAATATTATTTGAATGGATGTAACCATGATTTAATGGGGATCCTATATTTAATGGTAATCCTATTTATGTGGTAGTGTTATTTGATTGGATGTAACGGTGATGTAATTTGAGTCCATTATTAAATGGTAATATTATTTGAATGGATGTAACCATGATTTAATGGGAATCCTATATTTAATGGTAATCCTATTTATGTGGTAGTGTTATTTGATTGGATGTAACCTTGATGTAATTTGAGTCCATTATTAAGTGGTAATATTATTTGAATGGATGTAACCATGATTTAATGGGGATCCTATATTAAATGGTAATCCTATTTATGTGGTAGTGTTATTTGATTGGATGTAACCTTGATGTAATTTGAGTCCATTATTAAGTGGTAATGTTATTTGAATGGATGTAACCATGATTTAATGGGAATCCTATTTATGTGGTTATGTTATTTAAATGGATGTAACAATGATTTAATGGGAATCCTATATTAATTGGTAATTCTTTTTGAAATTATGTAACCGTGATTTAATGGAAATCCTATTTATGTGGTTATGTTATTTAAATGGATGTAACCTTGATTTAATGGGAATCCTATTTATGTGGTAATATTATTTAAATGGATGTAACCTTGATTTAATGGGAATCCTATATTAATTGGTAATGCTATTTGAAATTATGTAACCGTGATTTAATGGGAATCCTATTTATGTGGTAATGTTATGTAAATGGAGGTAACTGTGATTTAATGGGAATCCTATTTATGTGGTAATGTTATGTAAATGGAGGTAACCGTGATTTAATGGGAATCCTATTTATGTGGTAATATTATTGAAGTGGATGTAACCATGATTTAATGGGAATCAGTTTTATGTGGTAATGTTATTTAAATGGTATGTATCATAAAGCAGTGGGAATCCTATTTTTGTGAGAATGTTTGTTTTATTGGGAGTGTATTTTCTATTTTCATGCTTCTGCTATAAATATATATACTAGAGCTATTTTTCACAAAACTTTCAGACCAAAATTGCAAAGTTTTGCTTAACTCTAGTGGGAATTAGAAAAAAACTGCAAGGAAAAAATATATTACTCCAGATTGTTTACTATATTCTGTTGGCAGGAATTTTTTTAATTCATGAGTAAACTATAAACAAAACCAATAATACTAAAAATTTCCAAACTTCCCCTTAGCTGTCTGTAGAGGCATTCGTCTTACCTCAACACATTAAGTTAGTATTGAGTATGGAAACTCCACCAGATATGTGCCCGTATAGTAGTTCCTAATGGCTGCTGCCAGAATTCTCTGCTTGGCACCATTAAGTTTTGATGTAAATGTTTATTGTTCTCAGGTGATTTACAAACTAGAATCCAGGTATGAATTATATTTTCAGAAATACCTCCTTGTTAGTTCCTCATCAGAGAAAGGAGCATCCCTTGATCCAAGTAAACGCCAAAGACTTATTTACGTGAGTGTGACAAATTTACACTGTAGCCTGTATAACCAAGCCACTTTTTATCAAGCTATGTTTTCATGATTGTGAGGCAATTTTTGTCGCCTGACAAGGCAACATAAAGGAATCACTTTAAGACTCATCTGCAGTTATCTGAATTTGTACTGAAAGATGTTAACTGTCTTTGTTTTTTGTCTGTAAAATTCTCTTATAGCTATAGTTATGTAGGGTGTATCAAACCACAAGTTTCCATGGTCTGATGGAAGTAAAACTTTGATGGTGCTTCCTTGTAAGTCACAAAGTCAAAGGTAAAAGTCCTTGACATTTCCTTAATGGGTAATTATTCTACTGTGATTTATAATCTTTACTGCTGATTACACATGCAACACATTTACTTCTGTATCAGTGTGGCTTGGTTAAATGAGCTAGTGTTTCCTGACAGGCATCAAGTGTACATTATTATATTATCATTGTTATGTAATATATTTCTTGCCATCTCCACTATAGAGTTGTTACAATCATACTAGAATTATCAAGTTACATTTTTAACATGTGCCAAATATTAAGTATCTGCAAAAAAGCCCCCAAACAACAGATGATCATCCAACTAGCTGCTGCTGATAAAAGACATATTGTGATGTTTGATCACTTAAACAATTTTTGTAAAATCTTTGTGTTTATTTTTTTTTGTACCCAGGAATTTTTCACGGGAGGTGCCCAGGTGCCGGAGGTAGAGGGTGTAATGTACCTGAAGTCTGATGGTAAAAAAGCCTGGAAAAAATTCTTCTTTGTCCTGAGGGCTTCGGGTCTTTACTATAACCCAAAGGGTAAAATAAGCAAGGTAAGTGCCTCGAAAATCATATATTCTTTGTCCTGAGGGCTTCGGGTCTTTAATATAACCCAAAGGGTAAAATAAGCAAGGTAAGTGCCTTGAAAATCACTATATTCTTTGTCCTATGGGCTTCTGGTCTCTACTATAACCCAAAGGGTAAAATTAGCAAGGTAAGTGCCTCAAAAATCACTATATTCTTTGTCCTGAGGGCTTCTGGTCTCAACTATAACCCAAAGGGTGAAATAAGCAAGGTAAGTGCCTCAAAAATCACTATATTCTTTGTCCTAAGGGCTTCAGGTCTTTACTGCAACCTTCTAGACAATGGTAGCAAACATTATTTGTTCTAAAGACTTCGGTCGATAGACACTTGAAGGAAACATTCTTTGTTCTAAAGACTTTGGTCGATAGACACTTGAAGGAAACATCCTTTGTTTTAGAGACTTTTAGTTGGTAGACAATGACAGAAGCTGTTCTTTGTTCTACGAGACTTTAGGTTGGTAGACAGTTACAGAAAACAATTTTTGTTCTGGAAACTTTAAGCTAGAGAACATTCTTTGAGCATCATGTCATATAATTTTTTACTCTAAAAGATTCAGCACAAGACAAAGGAAACAATTTTTATTCTGAGAAAATGTTTACTTCTTGATGTTTAAGTTCTTGACAAGAGAAATAACTGTTGAAGAGTTTGGGTTTTCTGAAGGACCTGAGTCACTAGACACAGGCTTTGGGTTAATGGAGATATGCTGAAGAGGAACTTTGTTCTAAGGGTTTGAAATTGGTATATTTGAGGAACATTCTTTTATCTGATGATGCAGTTCTCCACTTAACCCTTAACTATAGCAATGTGACAGAGGATTGTTATATTGGAGAATAAAAATTTACAGATCCAGCTGTATATAGCTCATCTGTGGGAAAATAATCAGCTTGATGTTATTGCTTCAATGTATGAATGCAATGTGTCTGTTTTGGAAAACCTTTAAATGAAATAAACAATTAAGTATAATGTAAACAAGTAGTAAGTATATATAAATAATAAGGTTTCTCATTCTCGTACTTCTACTTCTGATTTGAGGAGTATAGACTAAACAGTATCTGTATAGATAAAATAGAACAACACACACCAAGTGTACAGGCAAGTTGGAACTCTGATGAGCAAACTTTGTTTTAGGTTACATAACGATAGGCAGTTAATGTAAAAATGGTTTGGCAGCCATTCAAAAAAAGTTTCCTACTTTGTGCAGCCAAGTCAGAATGAGAAAACATCACATAAAAAAAAAAAAGACATGGCCGCTTTAAATGTGAGGTATATATACATATTGCATACCAAGTGATCTTGGCCATGAAAAAGTTTGAATTTCATTTTGAGGCATTACAAAGGATTCAAACTCCCAGGGGATGCAGATCTTCTGATTGAATTGGTAGCCAGGAAGTTGAGTGTGGCAAGTTTGATACCTTTATTATAGCTAGGTAGACCACTTAAAGGGGTTCCATGGCTGATTATGTAACCAGACTGGAGTTCGACATGTAAAATGTAAATGTAAATCTTAATATACTGATAGCATGAGGTTGGTCATCGGACTTGTCCAGCTTCACCTATAGTATGGAATTATTGCCAATAGGATTGCTTTCATCTGCCGTCTTCTGTTCTGTAATTTGTTTAGCATATTAGCATTACAGATACACCTAAGATCAAAATTAAAAGTTAGCTTTATATATCTATCAAGTATATGAACATGTGATTTAAAGTTGAAATATGCTATTAAGGAATCAACTCTCATTACTTAGATTTGCAAGGTAATGTGTATAAAAGTATGAAGAGGGCATCCCCTCCCCTCTGTGAAAATATGTATAGAATTGATATATTGGTAATTCAATTTAAGATTATTGGCATGTCTACATGTTTGTTATATAGAATAAGGAGGATTTTTGTCTAGCAATGAAAAGTACATCAACAAGTACAGGGAGACTATTTTTAATGTGAAGTTATTAAGGGAGATAACACTGCTGTGTTGAAGGTATTGAGGGAGGTAACTCTATGTGTGAAGATTTAGGAGGAGGTAACTCTGTTTTTAGGGGTTGTTTTCAAAGTTGTTGAGGGTGATAATTATCACATGGATATTTGTGATATTTCAGTCGTCTAAGGACCTGACCTGCCTTGTTCAGTTTGACTTTGTGGATGTGTACTTTGGCCTTGGCTGGAAGAAAAAGTACCATGCCCCTACGGACCATTGTTTCGCCCTCAAGGTAGGTATCCTGGTCATGTTTTCTTCAAGTCACCTGTGTAATCAAGCAAAACCTTATCATTTAAATATAAAGTATAGCACTGTTTCATATCATTAGTCAATGAAATACCTCTTTATCATTTTAGGTTCAAATGTTACACATTCAAACAAAACTATGTACATGCCTGCCCACTAATGAGGAAGATTATGGTGTGAAATTTCCTTGAAAAGGTCATGCTCTGGTTGTGTCGGATGTCTGTATGAGCAGTCATTAGTCACTTACAGAGGAAGTTAGTCCCTATAACTTTATCAATTTATAGACTTTAACCCTCTCTTTCTGTACTCCATTTACCTCTCAGTCCTGCTCAATCTCTTTCCTTTCTTTAGTAGATTCTTTTTTCTTATTTCATCCTTTCTCTTTTTTCCCCTTACATATTGTATTCTGCATTTCCTGACCAACTACAAATAATTTATTGTGAAAATAATATCAGTTAGTGTTAAAACTGCATTCTATACACTAATGGGGCCCTGGTAGCTAAGTGTATGGAAGCCTACGTGATCTCATGCAGGTGGGTTGTTCAATGCTCAATACCATGGCAGTTTGTGTTTCTCAGGAAGATGACAAACGGACCAATACGTGTTGACGAGATATACCCAGCAAACAAAAGCAAATCTAAATAGTGTAAAGATCCTGTTTTATAAACCATTGTTAAATGAGAGGTTTGTTGTGGCTTGTATGTAGTATTAGATACAATCTCTGTCACTCAGCTCGGCTGATTATCATGCTGGAGACCCAAAGTACGATTCCTGGTCAAGTACTCAACAGGAATGTGCATTTTTCACTGTTCATTCACATCACTTCAATGTCAAAATAATTGTATACAGTGATATGATATCATTTAAAACAGTGTTCAGATGATTAAATAATGTTATTCATGTATTTTCTTGTAGTTCTTAGATAATTCCAAAGAATATTGTGATTATTATAATATTAAAATATAATCCTTTACTGTTATTGGGTCACCCAAGACCTTTGCAAACATTTGACATTTTCGACTCCTCAAAAACCCCTGAACCCAGATATAGTAGAATCACTTGATCTTTATGGATGTAAGGGGTCTTAGAGTTATTTATACCAAAACTGAATTTCATGACCCCAGGGTCTCATATTCCCATCTTGGGGGAAGGGGGGTGGGGGATGGGGGGAGAGATAGATAAATTTAACATTAATTAATAAGAAAATATTTCAACTTGTTTAGAGTTATTAGTATATGATGCAGCTTGATGGATGCACATATTAATGCTGGCTGAACCACAGGGGCTGATTGGTGGGGCCAAAAGGGGTCAGAATTGAATTAAATATAAAGAATTGTCTTTTAAACACCCAAATAACACCACTAAAATTGTGACTTTTATGAACTCAGGGTTCAGGGACTGTAACAAAGTTAAGATTGTTCCAATTAGTGAGACAGTTTTAGAATTGAGAGGCCTTCATGGGGGGATGCTATTCATCATTCTATCAAAAATGAAGAATGTTGCAATACTTTATCCATATTCTTATTTACCACTTCATAGCAGGAACATTGCTAGGGAATCTGTATTCATATATATTCCATATTCAGTGAGATCATGTTGTATGTTGAGAGGCTGTTGGGAGGGGGTAGGGTATGACCTTAAGACGTGAGTAATAAATTAACAGTGATGGTGCACTAAGGGAGGGGTCAGTGTAAGTGACATTTTAGGGAGGGTTCATTAAATAGTTACACTTTAGTAAGTGAATGGGTGTAACAGGACTAGTATCAAAGAAATCGTAGAGAAATGATACACATTTTCCATTGTTTTGGATCGTGACTGAATCATTACAGGGAAACAAGGCCGGTTAATATCCTTCAGTTCTGGCTTATCTTAATCATGCGTTTAATTTTAGCCAGATTTTGTGTGTGTATGTGTACTTGAGTTTCATACAAAACTGTTACATCCATTATATGTAGCAGTGCAGTGTGTTTTGGCTGTAATATCCGGAGACTGGGGGACTACCATAGTTTCCCAGGGGGACATACCAAACTGTCAGTGTAGACAGTACTTAGTGTGAGTTGATCCAGTTACAGATAACCTGTGTAGAGAAACCACCTGTCTTAAGAGGGTGCTTTCATGATGATAATGTACTACATGTTCCTGAAGAGAGGTGTGAGATGACACATCAACAGGGATCAAGGGTGACCTATCACTGTCCCCAGTAATAACACAGGGTTTACAGTAATATTTCTCATCTCAGTGCTACATGATGGGACCGACTATGTTTCCGCACTAGGGAAGGCAGGCAGTGCTATCAGACACAATTATAGCTTTATCAGATGTCAGATAGACAACTCTGCCCCCAGAGGGTAGCTTTGGAAAGCTATCTCTGTTTTTTCACTAACAAAAAACGTTTTTTTTGAAGATGAAAATTGATATTGTGCATTTTTCTATATGTGCAGCATCCTCAGATCCAAAAGAAGACGTCAAAGTATATCCGCTACTTCTGTACGGAGAATAAAGCTGCGTTGGACCAGTGGGTAATGGGAATTCGTATTGCCAAGGTAAGATACTGTAAAAATGAAATGTTAAAACAGGGACAAGATACTGTAGACATAGAATTTATTTCATAGATATTCATGAGTAAACAAGTGAGTGACAAATGTATTTTATTGTTATGTTATTAAATTCAGATCTTTATCCTAATTTCATGTTAGTATTTGTATTGATTTTCAGTTTCACCATCCTATATGTATCAGTTCCCGAATCATTTTATACTGGTGCTAAATGTTGTGCCAATAAATATCATCTCCATCATCATGTTACCACTGTTTCTATTGATGTTTGGTGTCATCTCCACAATCATGTTACCACTGTTTCTATTGATGTTTGGTGTCATCTCCACCATCATGTTACCACTGTCACTATTGATATTTGGTGTCGTCTCCACAATCATGTTACCACTGTTTCTATTGATATTTGGTGTCATCTCCACAATCATGTTACCACTGTTTCTATTGATATTTGGTGTCATCTCCATAATCATGTTACCACTGTTTTATTGATATTTGATGTCATCTGCACCATCATGTTACCACTGTTTCTATTGGTAATTGGTGTCATCTCCACAATCATGTTACCACTGTTTTATTGATGTTTGGTGTCATCTCCACAATCATGTTACCACTGTCACTATTGGTAATTAGTGTCATCTCCACAATCATGTTACCACTGTCACTGTTGATATTTGATATCAGCTCCACCAGTGTTACTTCAGCTCTTAAGTGTTAAAATTGATCTTAAGCCCTAAGTCATACTATTTCCTGTGTTAAAATCAATGTTTGACAAAAACAAATTATGGTGAATTTATGAAATCTGATATCATATATAAACTCAGCTGAAGTTTCATAAAATTTACGTTTTGTTTTAACTTTATGAACACCCTGTTGAACCGTATCAAACAACATATTGGTAAAAGGAAAACCTTTTTTTATAATGAAAACTCATTCCTATAAGTGTTTCTCTTCCTTCCTTGTATTACTTGGATATTCTTAATATTGACTCGAGTTTCTAATATATTAATTACTGTAAGTTTAGATATGTATCTATTTGATAAATAATCCCCACTAATGGTTAATATTGGCCACTGAACAACCTTTCAGCAGATGAGTAGGTCTGTAATAATATGTTACTTTATCTTTTGCAGTATGGAAAGCAACTTTTGGCCAATTATGAACGTCTACAGAGGGAAGTCGCTTCTTGGGATACACGAGATCTCCGAAGCAGCATATCTGATGATTCTAGTGAAACAATTCTTAATCTAAACACTGAGGGAAATTTAAGTGACAGCAGAATCTCTATGCCAGAGCCTGGATCACGGCATTCAATTGTTGCAGTGAAAAATACAAATTTAGTTCGTAATAGTTCTGGAAGTGATAGTACTATTGTGGAGGATGAAATAGTTACATTAGAAGTGACTTCGTCGTCGCATCATCATCATCATGAACGCAAGTCTTCATTGACAGGACAGCATTCTATTGAAATGGGCGGTATGCCAAAACAGCCAGTGAAACGTGTCTCCTTTAGCAATACCCATAGTGTAATAAACGCAGACTCTGGTGAGGAGTTAGTTCATGTACGACATCGTGATTCAATCACCAGTGCATCTACCGACTCAAGTGAGGATTCAAATTCAAGTGGAGAAAATAGACACACCATGACATCTTCCAGGAGTAAAATGCGTGCTAAACTTCCGGTAACAACTGGTACAACAAAACAGATTTCTGAAATGTACCAAACAGCAATGGAGGGAAGTAGTGTGTCATCATGTGAGTCGATGGGTCATGAACGCAAGCCATCGATAACAAGTCCAGTACAAACACAAGACAAAGAGCGCAGAAAATCTGCACCAGCATTACATGAAGATCGTGTGAGGAGGCATGAGAGGAAGGGTTCAGACGGTAGCAGAGATAGTCGGGATAGTCGAGACAGTCGAGACTCAAAGTCACTGTCCCAGTCTCTTGATTATACTGTTATCCCCTCCACCCCGTCATCTAAGAACACTTCCCCACAAAATCTACATGCCCTAAATAAGGTGCCACCCTCCCCACCACCTCTCAAATGTCCAACACAGCCCTACCCTACATGTCATCCCGTGATACCCCCCTCCCCTTCATCCTCTAGTCAGGTCCCTCCCTTAAAACTAATGATGCCAACATCTCCATCCCCACAACGTGAGATGGTGACTTCCCCTCCCCCATACCGGGATATGATGTCACCTCCACCCCATCCTCCACATAGTCGTGACGAGATGATGTCACCCCCGCCCCTTCCTTATTATGGTAAGTCATCCCAGGGCAGGGCCCCTCCTGTGCCACCACCCCCATCTTCAATAAGGATGCCTCAGCCCTTAATGTCACCCCCAGTGAAATCCCGTCCTGCTCCTCCCCAGCCACCACATCAAAACTATCCACAACATCCTCACTCAAATTACCCCTCACAGCATTTCCCCCAGCCCCCTTCTCCAGCCCCAATGCCCTCTCCTCCAGTATCTGCTAATAAGAGCCCCCCACCCCCTATGCCCCCACCTGGACACATGACAAAACCACCATCTCCACTGCCTCTATCTCAACCTCCTTTGCCTCCTCCACCAACATCCATGCTGCAAACTCACATATCTCTTGCCCAAAGTAACTTTGCTGAAGCTACACCAACCTCCTTGGGTTCTGGGTCCCCAACTCCTTCAACCATGTCATCCCCCTCCACTCCAAAGGGAATGGTACCCATGCCCCCTCCTATGCCCCTTTTACAAAACCAGTATGTTGGAGGTCAGTCAACTTCTGGTATGGGCCATATTCGTCGATCATCGAAGTCTGGTTCAGAGACTGTTGGAGCATCTCCAAGTAAGGCCGCTATCCCTGTGGCACCTCCCACACCCCCAACTATCATGAACCACTCTGTATCATCTCCTACTGTCAAAAATCCAAAACACGCCCAGGTCATGTCAACATCAGACCCCATGATGGGCGGTAGTGGGGTCAGAACCTCTCTCCCAGAGTCTTCATCCTCACCCCAGATACCTCAGCATGTTTATGGTGGACACCAGGGGGCATATCAAAGTGGTCACCAGGGGGTTCATCAAAGTGGGCACCATGGGCCTCATCAAGGTGGTCAACAGGTGCCCTATTCCTCAGCTTCTCAACAGGATAACACGATGTATGATCAGATACGTGTACGTCCAGGTCCTCAAGCACGGACCACCCACTCATGTAATGTACCCCCTCCACCACCACCTGTCTCTATGGCAACACCCCGTCCCCACAGTTCTACAGGGGTCAGAAGCCAATCCTCACACACTGATCACATAACCGCTTTGTCACCAACGCAAGAGGAAGGAATATATGCACAGCAACAACCACTTCCATTTCTAGCAGAACTGTCAAAGAGACCCCATCAAAATCGAGGCTCCAATGGGAAAATTCCACCAGCAACACTGCCGAAACCAACAGATCAAAATCAATCAAAAACGTCTAACGGTGCTAGTTATCATGGAGGTCCTCATGGGGGCCCTAATCATCAGAGTCATCCCCATGGGGAGCCTCTGTATTCTCATGGACAAGGTCATGCACACCAGGGATACTCCCAGGGGGAGCCTCACCATCAGGGGCAACCTCACGGAGGACACCATCACCCTTCAAATGGACCAGCAGTGCCCCCTAGGCCAAACTCTGTCAACTCCAACAAAGGGGGATCCACCGACAATAAAAAAATGTTTCCACCACCTCCCCCAAAAAGGAGTGAAACAACACGCTTATCAACTGAACTACCAGGGCAAAGCGAGAGCTCAGTAGTGCCAACAAATATTGACCCCATATATGAAACTTTTGAGGAATGTGAAGGAATGATGGACATTAATGATCTACCCCCACCTCCTCCTGAACTGCTAGCTGGGTTAGAAAACCCTAAGGAGGGTAAAAAGGGGAAACCCCCGCCACCCCCACCAAAACGCAACAAGGATACACAGTTGTCAGTGCAATGATCAGAAAAGTGCTAATCAATAATTGTAATTCATAAATTATGTTTAGTATATGTCATTTTAGTATATCAAGATGCCAACATCATTTTTCAAAATCAAACTTCATATACTGTACCAGTCCGTCAATTAAAGTAAGTAATATTCCAGATTCAGAAAATGTTTCATAAGTTGGAGACATTGTTTAGGGATGATTGGATTATCTCCCCTTACACAGACCTGCCATATGTTTGTTTTTCAGTGAAACATCAGATAACTGTCTTTCGGAATTGTAAAAGAATATTATTTACGCATCCTGTGTAAAATTCTTGGATTTATTTCTATACATAAATTCCAGAAATTATCACAAATGCATCCATAGCAAAAAGGGAAGTATTCTGGTCTTAATTCATGTAAATTTGTGTTGAAAGTGAATTCCAGACAAAGTTAATTACAATACATTATACATGAATATTGGATTGAAGCCTCTGTAAGTTTAAGTGCTATGTGATGTGTTATATGGTAGATCTGATATTAATGAGAGAATTCAAATTATGAACTGTGAATTCTCAACACCTGGAGTTAAGTGAAAGATAAAAATTACTGTGTCATTTTACTCATTGTTCATTTGCATAACAATTCATCTTAAATGCAAGCATTGTATGTTCTTTGCATTGATATTTATAGATGGTAGAATTGTATGGTATTTTCTTACCCTGGAAACACAGAGTACAGATTTGTTATTAAGATTAGATAGAGGTTTGTCTTTCCTGAAAGCATTGTCATTGTGTCAGTGACCTGTCATAAGGTGTAGTGATAGATAACATCGTGCTATTAAGTAAAGAGGTAAATTTATGTTAAGACTTTGGATTTTTATTTAGATTTCACAAATCCTAGGATTTGTTTAATTGTAATGGAAGAGGAAAAAAAATTAAAGAAATGATGTCAGTGCTTTAGATATAAAATTACATGTACATCTGTAAGAAAACATGAGAATTTACAAGTTGATGGGAAACTATTAAAATACCAGCCACAATTAGGAAGACATTGTAATATTACTGTTGTATGAATGTTCATCTGTAATGAATAAGGAATCATGTTAGTCTTGTATAAGATCAATATACAACAGTGACAGGTGTGTGTATACAGTAAAGAGAGCACCATATAATTCTACCTTACATTTGTGAAACTGTGTGTGCTATTGATAGATGTGTGCTCATTTGCCCTGCAATATTTAAATCATTTTTTGAAATTTTATGTGATGAAAATGTTGATGTTAGTGCTAATATTTTGAGTGGTGTTAATATACATGTATCCTGCATGTTACCTGAAACTGGGTGCACATGTGCTGACATAGAAAACACATGTAAACAGTCTTAAAGACATAAATACAATTTTTTTCAACTTAAATTATTTGATACATTGAAAAGTTAAACACTTGTAAAGTATTTTGAAATCCTTATAAACATTTATAACCAAGCTTAAGGCCTTGTCACTAGTTATGGTCAGTATTCTTGGAAAACCCAAGAAAAACTTTATTTTAAGACTTTATGTGAAGGACCAGGGGAGGTAACTCAGAATCTCAGTAAGTGGTTCCTCTGAGAGTGATGAGGTAACATGCAGGATGGATGGTACCACTTTACTCATAAAAGGGGTGACAGACAGTTCTGCAAGTTTTCATTATCATCAAATATATTGATTTTATTGTACGTATTAGCTATTACGATCATGTTTGCAAATCTTGACATATTTTGAAAGTTGAGTGTATAAGCATAGTGTGTGACAAGGTGATATATATATATTATACAAATTATGCAGATTTTTGATATTATATGAACAGATGCCGTTCGTCAATGCAGATATTATATATGAATGACCAATTTCGATATATAAAAAAACTTTAATCACTCTACAAACAGAATGAAGGAAAGAAATTTCCTTTAAGAGTTTTATCAGATATAAATTAGCAGCTGGTTAATTTGTGTAGTTTATAAAGTTGTGCAAAGATTTCTACAGATCAGATGTCACTAAAGATTGAGAATATATATATGGTTAAAATTACGATCGCACTAGAACTACAGGTAGTTTCTGTACCTGTTCACACCCTGTGATAAATTAGTGTCCCTTTATACACAGAACTTTGATTATAACAGATGGAAGGTTAAGATTATGCTTTTAAAATCATTCAATAATTAGTCATCTTTGGAATCCTTCAACAGTTTTGTTATAGAATATTAAGAGATATTTGTATGCGAGTCCAGATTTGTTTTGATAAAAAAAACGTGTGTGCCATAGATAATGTGACCCTGCAGTCAACCAGTCAATTTATTATCCGATATTTAAATTATTGATTTTTCTGTTTTTTATGCTATTGATTATGAAGAAAATATCTGAAGTTTTTAATTCATCACTGTTGTGTATTCTAACGATCTGGAAAAGAATGATGACATCACATTTGTAAATTATCATGTCTTTAGAAGCAGAACTTTGTTCAAATTCTTTTATTCAGTCTATCCTTCTGATGAGTTTTAAATATTGGTTCTGAAAACTGATATAAAGTTCTGTACTAAGAGGGAAAAAGCTCTACATTTTCTGATCTGATTCGAAATTAAACTTTTTCTTCTTTGTGTTAATGGCTCATTAAGCTCTTTACTATCAGCATGAACAGAAAATTAAATCAATATCAATATTGATATGTTGACCGGAAGATTCAAGTTATTATTCAGTAATACTGAACTATCAATACATCAGACTGTAAAGAGAAATATCAGGAAAGTCAGCTGATTTATTTTTAAATTCTTTCTTATTTATATTCATCATTTTAATCAATGACCAATGAGAAGAAAAAAAACTTGACAATTTTGCCAAATGAGAATTGTACAAATAAGATGCAACTTATTTGGCAAAAGCACTTTGGGAAATCTTATAGATGAATTTTGTAATTTACATATGTCTTTCTCTAAGACCATTCTCATACCTTGTTAATATGATCAGAAAATTGTCACACTGGAGGAGAAAACACAACATGTTGTATAATTTTTCGGGAAGTTTTATGACAAAGCAGAATGTCTCCAGTTTTATTTTTATTGGGTTGAAGTTGAGGAAGTTACAAACTGTTTTTATAATGTGGATACAATCTTTTATCAGTACTATTTAGTTAGTATTCACTTCAAATATTCAAACTGCAAACATTAACTTACATCTATATTTTATTATTTTTTTCTGAGATTCAGAAGAATTTCCATTACTTTATTTGAGAGTTGATATACTTGGTTGAAGCCATCATTAACCTATACAGTATGTATGAGTAAAAGATTTTACCAGAACTGTGTTGTCTTGCTATTTTTTTTATTCCTCGATTCACCCACAATTTATAAAGAGTTGTCTCCTTTTTAATCTCAAAACCATGTGGATGTATGATTGTTTGTGTGTGCCTATTTCCTGTTTGTGTATGTATAACCACTCCATCAATATGAATTGTTTTGTTGTTTTCTTTAAGCTTTCGGTGATACGAAAACTTGCTAGTCAATTGGTGTTTAATATATCATTGTTATGTGTAAATGTATTATTCTGTTTGACTCAAGCTTCAAATCAGTGGTACCATATATAGCCAAACAAGTTTAACTTGCTTCTTTTTGTACCTCTATTCTGAAGAGTTCCTTGCATAATTGATTACATTTGTGTACTTCAGTGTTGAAATACTTCCTGTCATTTTCAATGTTTTAGCTTGAATGAGATTCCTTTTCTTGCACAAGTCCCATAATTACTAACGACATATCAGACAGTGCATTTTCTCATATTCTGTCAATTAGTTCATTTAACAACAGTAAATTGTTAGACCTGAGCTGGTTGTAGACATATATACAAGGAAAAAACAACACTGCTCATATGTCTTTATAGGTATAAATGATAGAAATAAAAAGTTATAACAAATTATATTTCATTGTTGGAAGAAAGAAAAATCTATCATTTTTATATTCAATTACCATAGCTTTACAAATCATTTCATTGTATATGTTTGGACAAAGCTGACATAAATGTGAAGATGAGTGAATACATTATTATTATCATTGTCAACAGTGTCTCAAAAGTTGAATTGTGTACTCAGACCTGCCAACCCCATGATGGGAAAATGGATTCCTCTATTACATGGCTTGTTCCATTTACCTGTAGGGTTGTCAGGGAGAGAGGTTGGTCAAACTTCCTCGAACTGACAATGATTCTGTGTAAATGTTTAGAAACCCTAGAAAATTTGTCTCCAGTATACAAGAAAGTTGAATAAATTATGAATTTAAAAATGAATACAAATTTGCGTTTTATGTTTTTAGATAAATGACATCTATTCTTTGTATGATTTTCATGTATAATAGAGAGGTAATACTTTGCTCCATGGAAACCATGATGATAATCACCAGGTTCCATGTATCCATATTGCCATGAGTCCAGTACACTGACCACAGTCTACAGCATAGATGTCTCTTATCATTTACTAGCACCTATATATTCCTGGACCATTTATCAGTTGGATGAGATTGACCATGATTGTTCATTAAATAAAAATAGACCTATACCTATGTTATTTTCTATTCTGACAAGCCTTGACAAATCATTTCAAGACCTTTATTAAGATTGGTTGGTCTGTAAAATACAAAACTTTGACATATCAACTTTCCCATATAATCAAAAGTGACCCAAATATCATAATGTCCTTTCATTACACTAGTGCTACTAGGAGGTGTAACCAACTAAAATACTACAGGTTGTTCTATATCTTTTCACAATAATATCTACACTTAATATCAAAATGCCAAAATGATTGGTGGGAAGGATATGTAATGAAGACAAATTGGACTAATGACCAGCTGATGTTTGGGCCTGTTTGTGTCGTGATGATGACTTTACATCCTATAACAGAAGGTCCATAGTTTATATTATAATAGAGTATTCAGGTCTCTCAAGCATTCATTAATTCTGCTATTTGTCTCTCTCAGGCTTCATTTAATTAATATTTTCAAATATTTTTTGACTGACATACTGATTTGATTGTAAAGTAAGGCTGAGAAAAGAAAAACTCATAGCTTTATCACTGGAATTGTTGCTTTATTATAGCATAAAAGTTTTAAAATATTACGACAAAGGTATGACAATAAACAGAACGTTTATGTACTTCTCAAGCAGTAGCAATGACAAACATGCCTAGTCAAAATCCAAAATGGTTGCTCCTCCTCTGGTGATAGTGGGCAAAACAAACCATTGAGCAACAAAAACCACAATAGGAAAAATGTAAAAAGCTTTCTGAATGTATTATAATATTGATTTATATAAGACATGCAGAAGTACATAGCACCTGGCTAGAAGGGCCAAGTGAGCTATATATACCACAGGGCCCGTCCATCGTTTGTCATCTGTCAACTTTTTCTACAAACTTGCACTGAACGACTAAGGCAGATTTTGACCAAATTTTGTCAGGAGCATCCTTAGGTTAAGAGAAACATATTTTGTATCAATGGTGTATTCCTGGACCTAATGGGCAGGGCCCAGGGCAGGAGGGAAGGGGCTCAATAGTGGAAATGTGTTATATCTTTGATCCCCATCCCATATATAGCATTGTTGGGCCTAAAGAGATAAACACAATTGTGATATAAGAATTGGCCCTTGGGTCTGGCCCTATCCCTTGGGACTTAGTTTCCTTGTTATATCCTAGAAACAGTTAAGATTCCCACCCTATAATCATATACAGCAATAATGGGCATCTGGTAATAAACAGAAACACGACGTAAGAACTGGTCCGGGGTCTGGCCCGATCCTCAGGGACTTGGTTTCCTTGTTATATTTTGAAGCTGTTGAGATCCCAATCCCATAACTATAAACAATTGTATAGCAATATTTTGGAGATCAAGAGTAAAACACGATCATGATATAAGAATTGGCCCTAGAGCCTTGCCCCACTCTTAGGGATTCAGTTTTTTGGTGATAATTTTGAAGCAGTTGAGAACCTCACCCCATAACCATATATATATATATATATGCTTGGTATCAAGAGATAAACACATCCATGTTGTGAGAATCGACTCTTAGGTGTGACACACCTCCACAGACATTAATTCTGGGTCATATTTTTGACATATTGAGATACCAACCCGATAACCATATAAACTCTTACTGGGCATCAAATGAGAAAGACAGTCATGCTACACAAATTTACTCAATGGTCTTCCCTCATCAAAGAGGTCAAGTGACAACTTTAAGTTGAAAATAATTTAAATAACCAACCTACAAGCATGTATACCAATGCTGGGTTTTAAGACCCAGGTGAGCGATATAGGCCCTATGGGCCTCTTATTCACAATTAAAAGAAATATACAGCAAAATATGTAAGATGAGAAAATAACCTGTTACATATGCTTATAATGAAACAAAAAAATTGCACTAAACAACATTCCCAGCCAACAGGTTCATAAAAGATCTGAAAAATGATAACTATCTGTTATCTTATAAGCAGGCCAAGATACGTGATAGTTAAGTAAAGAAAAGATAAATAGCACTTAATGGCTTAAATATTGTATCTATACATAAAAATATAAAACAATTCAACACAACAAAAATATTCTAAAATATTAGGATTAATTTCATGGCAAAAATTGTAATTAATACTAAGTAAATATATCTAGATTATAAAACAGCCTTAAAAAATGTTAACAATCCTAAGTTACCTCTTAATTTCTTGTGTTTAAGTGATAAGCATTTAGTTTACCTGATAAAGGAGACAATAGAGAAACAAAGACCAATTTATAAATGGTGTGAAAATACTGAAAATCAATATTAAGCAATGGAATAAAAGACTTGTGTGAAGTTTTACAAGCTTATCATTTCCATGAAAATCTAGCATACAATATATCATTATAAATTTCTACAGCATACAGCTGTTTTTTTAACATTATAAACAGGAAAAATCCAAGTAAAATGGTGACAATACTGGTAGAATAAAGGATTGTTAGCTTTGTACTGTAAAATATAACAATATCTTCGTATTCTTAGATTTCAGTCCTACCAGGTAATTTAAAATCTTTTTTCCTTTCTTTTTTTTATTTCTATTGTTCAAATTGTATTACAGGTGTGATAAAATATTTTGGTAATTTGGCCATATTATCAAATAAATCAAATTGGGAATTGGGCATATATTTGGCAGAACCCCCGAAAAAGGCCTAGAAACTTTGTACTTGAAATTACAAAACATCTATACACACTAAAACGACCTGTTAGATCTTTTGTGTGATAATCAGTAATGTTAGGAATTATAAACTGGCTTAATCCTATTAAATACCATGTAAACATTCTATATACTTCACAGAAAAATATACATATTATAAAATATCCAATAAACATATTTCATTCCTAATATTTCTATCATTTGTAAACAATTGGTATTTTAAACAATATATATATCATAACAGGTAATATTAAATTCATATTGACAAATAGAAAAAAAAAACCAATTTGATTAACAGAATATAAAAATCGTTTGTTAAATATTTTACCTTATCATATGTTTGTGTAATTAAATGGGATAAAAACAATATCATGTTTAAACAGTGGCTCGAATTAATGATAACCCTTGCTGTCTATAAGCAAGCATGTGCACACTGACACTAGGATAAAGTTGAACACACACCAGTCTAAACTAGAGAGAGGATCTTTACATTTATCACTTACCTACATATAGATCATGGTTATGTACCGTGTCCTTGTAAATGGTATTTGTAAATGAACATCTTTGGTGTTGGTATACCGAAATTATATCATGATTGAATTTAAAGCATTTTTCTAAATTTTTTTATCTGAAAACATACTGTACGTGGAATATTTCAGTACCACATCTATTGTAATGAAAATTGAAAAAATATTCCATTTGTGGGCTGAAAGTACATAATATCTAACTTAAAAGAGTTTTAAACTAAATTGCATGGATACAAGAAATTAGAATTACAATATGGTACATGTGAACCAGAAAAGTAGTCATTGCCTTAAATTAAAGATGACAAAGACAGCAGAGAAATAGTTGAGCTGGCTACAGTGGAGGTAACAGGTCAGGAGCTAGACATTATCCACAGATGGGCAGTGATTTATGGACAGTGATTCGGCCAATGGCCTGAAAGTTAAAAAAAACAGTTCTTTTCTGAAATCAAATCAACCGAAATCATGTATACATACTTATATATACAGTTTGACAATTTCACAATTGCTTTTAAATATACAACTGATAGCCATTTTTGTGATTGTTATTGGATTTCATCATTGACCTCTGATTGTCATACTCATTTAAGATGAGTCAGCACATACTTTACAGATTGGCTGAAACAGCCATGATATACTACATCATGCATATAGTGCTCAAGCTGTAATTCAAACACTTGAATAATTGGATATACCTAATGTTGAGTGTCAACGTTGAAAATTATGCTTTCTGAAGTTTAATATGACAGCTCTTTCTGGAATTTTATACCTGATACTGTAATTTTGATCATTGGCACACAGGTCGTAGATGGTATGGGCCATGTTCAATTTCACTGTCTCTCTCTAGCCAAGACTACTATGAAATCATTTATTTTATGTGGGTTTTATCTTTGTTCAATTCAAAGCTACTCTTGATATACAAATTCACATGTCATTTCTTTTTACATTGAAAAACCACAAAAATTGAGCCCGACAAAAATATCTTTTTTTAGAGTAGTACTAAGTCAATCTAAACTCTTAAGTCGATGGTTCAAACCTCATCAAACACTTACCAAATTATTTCACTAAACCTTACAGTTTATCAATTGACTGTTTAAATTAACAATTTGCAAACAACATGATACGATCAAAATTGTACAAAATAAATTTAACATGATAAATCATCTACAGTGCGTAAATATCAACAAAAAACAACAAATGTCAATAAAAACCAGTTTGTTGGAAGAAACTACTCAAAGTTGGTTTCTTCACTTCTGATTTTTCAGTTCTTCTGCATAAGCTTTAAGCTGACTTTGAAATCCATCATTTGGCCTAATGGCAGGGCGTTTATCCTTCACATGACTGTAGGCATGCTGAAGTGTCATGCCTTCCCTACTCATAACATAAGCTATGACTATGGTAGCAGCACGAGAAACTCCAGCATTACAATGAACAAGTACAACACCCTCGTCTGTCCCTCTGCCTTTGTCTATAAACTTAAAAGCTTCGTCAAATTTCTTTGAAATTGGAAAATCAGGGTGATCGTCAATCTTAATAGATTTATAAGTGAAACTTTTTGGGAAGTGTTCATCTACAAATGTTGCAACATTCAGAATGTGTGTCACATTGTAGTTGTGTAGTACTTCCTGGTCACAGGCCACATCCTGGGAACCTAAACAAAAGGAAATAATTCTTAAAATGAAGTTAATTTAGTCAGGAATTAGTCATCATCAGCGTAGGCTCTATAGATTTTATACCTGAAACTATTCCCTTACATATAACAACAAATAAGTGTACAGCTGAAGCATATTATTCTTTGTCATAATATCAGGAGATCTGTAAATTCATACAATTTTTGAGGCTTGAAATCTTGAAAGGATCAAATTCTAACCCTTGGAAATTCCAAAATGTCGACAGGTTTGCTAGACTATAATTTACCAAAAAGTAACATGTAATATATATATACATGTATTGTGTGTGTCTTTTTACAGTTGTATATATCCAGCTTATTTCATCTCTTATTAGTCTTTATACAACATCGATACAAACATCAAAACATGGCTTATTTTCACATCATATTTTTGTTATGTACATAAACACCTGTGATTTAAACTCACTTAAAAGTAGTCCTGGTAGGATTTCTCCGACTTGCATATCTGGTATACCCCATCCTACAAAGCCATATGATTGTCCTATCGTTGTCTTGGACACTACCTTTCCATCTGTATCATGACTTTCAATGAATGACTCTCCACCTGCCGTGGTGACTTTTGTGTCAGTCTTCTTCAGGTTACTCTTTTTAAACCCAGTCAACGAATCCTTCAGGGAGCTACAGAATGATTTCTTCTCTCCACTAGCCATGTCAATGTTGTTGGTAATGCAAAGCTTTGACGACTGAAATAATATCATAAAATATTAAACTCCACTTTCAGCATTAAAGTGACAAAAGAATAAAATCAAATATAATGTACATTTGGTCATCCATTTCTTCATGTCTGTGTTAATTACCTGTCAGAAGCACATCCTTTTGTAAGAATGTAGCTAAATGATTCAAATTTGTATGTCTTCTTAACTCAAACAATCAAACATGAACTGTATATGACCAAGATGAGAGATAAATTTGTATCAGTCATTTTAATAGGACCTTGGTACCAGCGAAAAATTTTCAACCCACACTAGGCCTCAAGCTAGCAATATTTCTGCCATTACTGGAACTCCACCCAGAAACATTTCTGCCTGTACTGCCGATCGACCTAATAACCTACACTAGCTATAGGCTACCAAGTGAACTTTCTGTCCACACTGGATCAAATATGTCCTCTTTTCCTGATTTCCTGTCATGCCTATAGACTAATATGTCAGAGTCTGTTGGAGAAAAATCCTCTGTTTTTGGATGTGTTCGGAGTTCCAGCTGTATAATCTAAAACTCAAGGATGATCCCAATCTGATAAAGCTCACTACTGTGGTACACACGTGATAGTATTTGACATTGATAGCTTATGGTATTTCACTGTGATGTATGTTTGATGTGAGTTACCACAGACTTAAATATTTAAGTCTGTCTTACCTTCATATTTTTCATTATCTTGGTATTGTACATGCAAGTGTTTTGATTTTTGAATTAGACTATATAACCTGTAACCAATTGTTAGGTCTGTCTTGTGCTGTTGTTAACTCGTCAACATTTTTTTCACTAAATTTAGTTTAATTATAACAACCTACATGTCTTCGTCAGTCATTGCCATAATTACATATTTATTTTCATCCTTCCAGATGAGAGGAAGTGTACATGTTCCTGTGAAATCTCAAGTGCAGTTGTGTCAAGATCAGACCACATGGGCATGTTACATGTCAATGTACATTTGTACATGTATTTACACAAACTTGTGTACTAAACAAATCTCACAGCACTTAATGAATGCATTGACAGATGAGGTCGGTACCTGTCAGGTACGGCACATGTTTAGTTTATCACTGTTCAAGTCATCAGTACTGTATTATAATTAAGATAATAGCTACACTGTATAAAAACTGACGAAAACAGTAAGATAAAACATGTGCATTCAAAAGCAACAATTGAAAATAGACACTTGAAACTAGGGGTGTTTATAAACAACAACGTAACATAATGCAATCAGTTTTGATACATAATTAATGAAATACTTGTTCTGTTGTAAGTTCGGATACAAATTAAAGACACTCCCTGCAAACCATTTTTGCCCTCAACCATTTTGTCCTAACTTTCATTGCGCCCCAATTTTAAAACTTTCGCTCCAAATTGGCAACCACATCGCCCCAAAATTTCATATGACCCCAAACCATTTCACCACAAAACTATACAGCCCAAAACCATTTCACCACAAAACTATACAGCCCAAAACCATTTCACCACAAAACTATACAGCCCCAAACCATTTCACCACAAAACTATACAGCCCCAAACCATTTCACCACAAAACTATACAGCCCAAAACCATTTCACCACAAAACTATACAGCCCAAAACCATTTCACCACAAAACTATACAGCCCCAAACCATTTCACCACAAAACTATACAGCCCAAAACCATTTCACCACAAAACTATACAGCCCCAAACCATTTCACCACAAAACTATACAGCCCCAAACCATTTCACCACAAAACTATACAGCCCAAAACCATTTCACCACAAAACTATACAGCCCAAAACCATTTCACCACAAAACTATACAGCCCAAAACCATTTCACCACAAAACTATACAGCCCAAAACCATTTCACCACAAAACTATACAGCCCAAAACCATTTTGCCCAAAAAAGCATGAAAAGGAAAAAACCTATTAAATTGGTTAAATGATGCACACTTGTTTTATCATCAATATTTAACTTATCTATCATCAATATCTATGAAGGAAAGCAAAATCAAACATGGTAATGAGATCACCCTGTGCATAACCTTTATTTCAAAGGCACTGTTTACAAACCAATATTAATTTTGATTTTAGCATTTCTTGTAACATAAGTTTAAATCTATTTACCAAACACAGTGATTAAATATGAACTTGTCATGAGGCTAAACAAATTTTGAAACACTGCAAATCCACTTGAAGAAACAGGTATCTGTGGCTCTTGGATAACTCTCCGAAATTGATTAAACTTGTCCATAAATATTAGTAATTCCTATGGTCCTACAATCTCAACCCTGCTGTATACCCCATTCTTGTAAACCACCTTCTGATGTTTGGATCCATGCAATGAGGATTGCCATCAATACCTGACTGCCAGATATAAACCCTATCATGCCATGTCTAGAACCAAAGTAGTGCCAAACTTTAATACAAAATACAATTTGTGTTGAGAATGATACAATAAATGACATTTTGTTGAAACATCTTGATCCTTTGTTTTTCATCACATTGAAACAATAGGCACACAACATTTATGAAACAAACATTTTCTAGTCATTGGCCATATACATTTTTGTACCTACATCTTGTTGACACATGACTTCACTGTTTACTTTGAGACAAACGAATCTTAGATTTAAACAAAAAACATGCTGATCTCAAAAGAAGACTGATTTTGGGGTTACCGGCCCATGAAGCTGGTTTATTTATTTTGCTTACAACAAACCATAACTGTACGGAAAAACAGATCATGGATCTCAAAATATGTTATGAAACATACACACAAATAAACCATTTTGCAGTGCAGTATTATATGGAAGGTAAACTTAACATACAACAACATCACTTGACTTAAACTTTCAATTCAGAACTGAAAATGCATGTCGGCGCTACCTTACTATTCCTCCGTTGTTATGCAAATTATTCCCCTTTAACCATCATAAATTTTGAAACGATTATAAACTTTAGGGACGTAATGATTTTTGGGGCGGTATGGTTGGGGAGTAATGATTTTTTGGGGCGAAATAGCTTGGGGCGCAACCATTTTAGGGGGAACGTCCAACACCTTTCGAATACATGTACAGTACTGCAGAAGCATTACTTAAATCTCTCGTAGTCGTGTTCGGATGTTGTTTCAGGCTATCAGTCAATGTACAGTTTAAAGATGGATATTACATGTGTTACTGGTGATAATATACTGCTGAATACAAAACGTGTTTCACCTGTGTTACAAAATTTCCCCTTCAATGCATTCGTACAGAGATAAACACTCCAGTTGTTTATTTACCGTCTCGGGTAACTTCCGGTATGCTATTGAGAGTAAACGCTAAAGTACAGACAAAACAACGGATAAAGCAAAATTGGGTCTATTCTGGTTTACCAGAGTTACTTCCCTTTATCGGTATCGATATTGTATCGATATGCGAGGGATTTTAAGTAAGAGACATGTTCAGGACTCAAAATGTACAGAAAGAAACAAACAAAGAAGGCTAAATTTAATCTTCTATTACTCCTCTTACTTCAAGATATTCATTATCTTGAGAAATGTAGATATAAACAAATGCTAAAAACTGTGCTGTGGTTGGAATTTGCTCCATACAGTATTTTATGAAAATCTGGGATACATTTTTTCTCCTGATTTTGGTTATGTTTTATTCTATCATCGTACGGACTTAGATACATCTCTATATCTATATCTAAGTCAATGGTTTTGGAAATTGTGTGATGGGACATAAAACACGTAACATATAATTACTTGTTATTCTTTCTTAATGCTTAAAAATCGCAGAGAGATTTCACCGGAACCAGAGACGTATATATCACACATATATATACGTCTCTGCCAGAACTCGTGAGAAAAAATAGTTAAGTTTAAAACTCGATAGAAGAAAATACCACTGAGTCGTTTTCGCACACTGTCGATGCTTATCGATGTAAGTAATTCTCATACCTAACCTATCCTTAGGTAACAATAGGAGCCAGTGGTATTGATGTAACGTAAAATGTACGTATTTCCTACCGAGAGGTCGACTGTATAAACATGTCACTGTCATTGTCTGATCGTACCAGGTGACCTGGAACCTTCATATTTTCTCTATTTTTAAGGGTCTTTTCTTCATTATATCCTCCAGACACTACCTCATTTTGACTATGGCCCGAACAGTGTTGCTTACTAGTACAAAGACCGCGGCCCTTGAGTTTAATGTTTTCTCTTAGCTGCATAATATTTGTCATTGATAGTTTGTCCATCTTGCAGATAATCTACCATCTTAATACTATCCCAGAAAAGCGAGACCATTACTTTTCCATGATGGAACAGACTTTGTCTTCTTTGGCGGGGGTGAACCAGGGTGCTTCCATTGTTTCGAGTTTGGCCTCTGGGATGGAATGATGGACCAACATTTCATCTATAGTCACAAACCTCTGCAGAAAGTTAGCAGGATCTGCATTTAAAATGTTAAGATTAGCACTCGACAGAGTCAGTCTGATTTGCTTCTGAGCAATTGTCAAAAATCTTGGGACCCAACGGACTGAGAGCTTTCTCATTGCAAGATTTCCCGTAAGAATGGAAACTTATCGGCCATAACAATGTCATGGACTTTTTTTACCATTTCTGGGGTTGTAACAGTGACAGGCCTTTACCTAGATCACAGTTGTTATGGATATGATACCTTAGTCACAGTAGTAGTGGAAAACTTACCAAGGACACTGTAGTAGTGTATATCTTACCAAGGTCACGGTAGTAGTGTATATCTTACCAAGGTCACGGTAGTAGTGTATATCTTACCAAGGTCACGGTAGTAGTGTATATCATACCAAGGTCACTGTAGTAGTGTATATCTTACCAAGGTCACTGTAGTAGTGTATATCTTACCAAGGTCACTGTAGTAGTGGAAAACTTACCAAGGTCACGGTAGTAGTGTATATCTTACCAAGGTCACTGTAGTAGTGGATATCTTACCAAGGTCACGGTAGTAGTGTATATCTTACCAAGGTCACGGTAGTAGTGTATATCTTACCAAGGTCACGGTAGTAGTGTATATATTACCAAGGTCACTGTAGTAGTGGATATCTTACCAAGGTCACGGTAGTAGTGTATATCTTACCAAGGTCACGGTAGTAGTGTATATCTTACCAAGGTCACGGTAGTAGTGTATATATTACCAAGGTCACTGTAGTAGTGTATATCTTACCAAGGTCACGGTAGTAGTGTATATCTTACCAAGGTCACGGTAGTAGTGTATATCTTACCAAGGTCACGGTAGCAGTGTATATCTTACCAAGGTCACGGTAGTAGTGTACATCTTACCAAGGTCACGGTAGTAGTGGATATCTTACCAAGGTCACGGTAGCAGTGTATATCTTACCAAGGTCACTGTAGTAGTGGATATCTTACCAAGGTCACGGTAGTAGTGTATATCTTACCAAGGTCACGGTAGTAGTGTATATCTTACTTAGGTCACGGTAGTAGTGTATATCTTACCAAGGTCACTGTAGTAGTGTATATCTTACCAAGGTCACGGTAGTAGTGGATATCTTACCAAGGTCACGGTAGTAGTGGATATTTTATATAGGTCACAGTAGTAGTGAAAATCAGCGTTCAGTGTGACAGCGAGCGATATTGTCTTTCACTCCGAATGTACTTGAGACGCACTTGTTTAAATCTTATCTGGTACATTCCCCCGATGTGGCTTCGTATGAATACGACTTACAGTTGACATCGCGGTGTCATTCCACATCAAATTTAGCAAAGTAAGTGGTGACTTTCTTGAAGATGACTTTATCACCGCTGTTGACCAGATCCGGGATGGGGACGAGTGCATAGTTCTCTTTGTTGCCGACTTCTACAAAGACACATAGTTATAACATTCGGCTGCCACCCTTATACATAGTTATAACCTTCGGCTGCCGCCCTGATGCATAGTTATAATCTTGCCGCCCTTATACATAGTTATAACTGCCGCCCTGATACATGATTATAATAACCTTACACATAGTTATAACCTTCGGCTGCCGCCCTGATACATAGTTATAACCTTCGGCTGCCACCCTTATACATAGTTATTACCTTCGGCTGCCGCCCTGACACATAGTTATAACCTTCGGCTGCCACCCTTATACATAGTTATTACCTTCGGCTGCCGCCCTGACACATAGTTATAACCTTCGGCTGCCACCCTTATACATAGTTATAACATTCGGCTGCCACCCTTATACATAGTTATAACCTTCGGCCGCCACCCTGATACATAGTTATAATCTTCGGCTGCCGCCTTTATACATAGTTATAACCTTCGGCTGCCACCCTGATATATATTTATAACCTTCGGCTGCCACCCTGATATATAGTTATAACCTTCGGTTCCCGCCCTTATACATAGTTATAACCTTCGTCTGCCGCCCTGATACATGATTATAACCTTCGGCAGCCACCCTTACACATAATTATAACCTTTGGCTGCCGCCCTGATACATAGTTATAACCTTCGGCTGCCGCCCTGATACATAGTTATAACCTTCGGCTGCCACCCTTATACATAGTTATTACCTTCGGCTGCCACCCTTATACATAGTTATAACCTTCGGCTGCCGCCCTGATGCATAGTTATAATCTTCGGTTCCCGCCCTTATACATAGTTATAACCTTCGTCTGCCGCCCTGATACATGATTATAACCTTCGGCAGTCACCCTTACACATAATTATAACCTTTGGCTGCCGCCCTGATACATAGTTATAACCTTCGGCTGCCGCCCTGATATATATTTAAAACCTTCGGCTGCCACCCTGATATATAGTTATAACCTTCGGTTCCCGCCCTTATACATAGTTATAACCTTCGTCTGCCGCCCTGATACATGATTATAACCTTCGGCAGCCACCCTTACACATAATTATAACCTTTGGCTGCCGCCCTGATACATAGTTATAACCTTCGGCTGCCACCCTGATACATAGTTATAACCTTCGGCTGCCACCCTTATACATAGTTATTACCTTCGGCTGCCACCCTTATACATAGTTATAACCTTCGGCTGCCGCCCTGATGCATAGTTATAACCTTCGGTTCCCGCCCTTATACATAGTTATAACCTTCGTCTGCCGCCCTGATACATGATTATAACCTTCGGCAGCCACCCTTACACATAATTATAACCTTTGGCTGCCGCCCTGATACATAGTTATAACCTTCGGCTGCCGCCCTGATATATAGTTATAACCTTCGGCTGCCACCCTGATACATAGTTATAACCTTCGGCTGCCACCCTTATACATAGTTATAACCTTCGGCTGCCACCCTTATACATAGTTATAACCTTCGGCTGCCACCCTTATACATAGTTATAACATTCGGCTGCCACCCTTATACATAGTTATAACCTTCGGCTGCCACCCTTATACATAGTTATAACCTTCGGCTGCCACCCTTATACATAGTTATTACCTTCGGCTGCCGCCCTGATACATAGTTATAACCTTCGGCTGCCGCCCTGATACATAGTTATAATCTTTGGCTACCAGGGTAACAAACGTAATGGCAGCATTTTATGATTAAAGTAAACCTATGTTTATATAAGTATATATAAAAAGAAAGAAATAAAACCTTTACTGTAGGCTGTAGATGGAGATACAAACTTCCCTATATCAGAATTTACTTGATATGACAAATATATATATATATAAAGTGTGTTCACATGTATATTCACATGAATAAAACATTTATAAATAAGTTTTGGAATTTGTTTCTGCACGTAAATTTTAACATTTTATATAACACATTAAACATTAAACAAATTTATGTAGATCGATTCGTTATTTTGATAAATTCTTGAAAAAAAATCGTTTATTATTATTATTAGCCTATCTAAATCAGCAGACCCGTTCAACAGTATATCTAGATAAACGACTATGGTATATCTAGATAATTTTCTGTAGAGTGAATCACGACAGTCGTTGTATAATATTACGATGAAAAAAGTCAAGTGGTTTTCTATTGAGAGTAAAAACAGGTGCATGTTGGTGATAAGACTAAATCACATTAAAAAAAAATCTGCATTCACAGCGCTACAGCCAGGACGGAGTCTAGTCTGATTCACAGCTAATTTTCTGTCACATACACAGAGTTTAGTTATAGGTTTGTTTTGTCTTGGAATATGATTTCAAAATTTTGACATTGTTTCTGAAGTTCTAGTTGACATCTCTAACGAATTCCACATTGTCAAAATACTTTAGATAAGAGACATTTCATATAAAACTTGTGGACACTTTGGTAATACACAATCTTGAAAATTTCTTAAAGTCT